TGCTTCTCATCCATGGGTCCTTGTTGGTGATGTTGTTGTTGTTCCAACCCCTCGGAATCCGTACAGTCTGGGCACAAGAATTTCTCCACCGTCTGCGCTTCGCTAAAACAATTAAGGGAATAAAAATAGCTAGATTAAAGCCTACATTTCAGTAATGCCAACGCAAGACGGGTGGAACCAATTCGGGCAGTTGTCGCAGCCAACGTAGAATCTAAAAAAAAACAGTAAAAGCCTATAAAAAATTGTAATATTATTTTTAAATCTTATTTAAATTTTAAGCGGTTAAACCAGGCTTAAAATTAAATCCGTTTTTACGTAATTAAAAAGATCTCACTTGGTATCATCATAGGGTGTATGGCAGATACAGTAGAGGGGCTCTTCCTCCTCTTCTTTCCCCTCTTCCTCCTCCTCCTCCCCTCCATCATGGCTCTCTTCTTTCACGTGGATCCGGGCGCGTTCTCGCTCCTAGAAAATACAAAATTAAACTTCTTCTTTTTCTGACTGACCATTTGTTCAATTTCCCCTTCAATATCGACTTCTTCATCGTCAGCCCCATCGAGATGTGCGGCTTGTTTGAAGGCCTCTCCCTCCATTTCGCTGTCCTCATTCTCAGGAGCACGACAGTCGTGGCAGATGAATTGGCACAGGCGTTTTGCCTACAAAATGTTTATATAAATTATTGTTTTTAAATTTGAACTATTTTTGGCTCTTTTGCATCATCGGGGGGGGGACAAATTTTTTCTAAAGGCTTAATTTTTTTATATGATTATTGGAAATGTTTCCAAACTGATTTTTAGTGTTCCTAAACGTCGAAGCGCTGCAACTTTTTATGAAAAAAAAGACAAAAAAAATAGCGATTTTTCGACCAAAAACGACCGATTTTTTACCAAAAGCTTCATTTAAAAAATTTTTAGAGTTCCTAGATAGTTTTTATACTAAAAATTTAGCTAAAACCCCCTTAAAAAATCGACTATTACGTTCCTAGGAATTTCTGGACTAATAGAAATAATTCAGTCTCCCCCCGATAATTAAAAAGCACCACTTTTCAAGTTTTTAACGTAAAAAACGTACCCTCTTCTCGCTGAGCCCTATACACTTTCCGTGGAACCATTGGCTACATTGGCTGCAGGCCACATAGAACCTAAAAACAATCGATTACACCATGAAATTGGGCCGATTTCCATACTTTCTATCGTCAAACGGTTGTCGACAAATACAGTGCAGCTCAGTGGGATCGATCATATTCCGCACGTCACTTCCCTCGGCGCGCAGCTTGCGGATTCTAAAATAAAAATTAGATTGAAAATCAAGGTTTAGCGTACTTTTCCTCGGCCTCCTTTCTCCTCCTCTCTCCCTCTTCTTTTCTCGGTCTCCCTCTCGATCGTGCTTCGTGGGGCGGGATGTGCATTAGAATTCCTCCGCTATCGCTCTCATCATCAGAGCTCACCTGAAAAATGATCAAAATGATACTTTATTTATTTTTATAATTTTTCCACTCCCAGATTTCTAATTTTATTTTACCTATAATTTCCTTCATTGTTTAAATTTTTGATTCTAATTTTTCTGCTATATATCCAAAACAATTAAAATTTTGCTTTGTTTTTCCAATTTTTCTTCTTTCCAATTTTAGTTTGCTAATTGTAACTTTTCTAGCTTCATAAATGCCACCTTTTTGGAGGTATCTCTGTCGCCGCGTTGGCTATCCCCATTTGCCGTATCTTCCTCTTGTTTGATCGGCTGAAATCGGAAATTTTAACGTTTAAAATTGTTTTAACGATTTAAAATCGTCCAAAATTGTATTAAATCTACCTTTTGCCCCCAATCATCCCCGGACAGGCTGATATCGGCCGGGTTGATCATCTGCTGCTGCTCCGCGTTCTTCTGCTGTTGTTGTTGCTGCTGTTCTTTTGCCTTTTTCAGGTCGATGCCTGAAAAATTTAGATAATTTTAAGTTTTCAAATTTCTTAAACATTCACTGACAGACCGACCTTTTAAACCTCTAGAAATGGCCTGATTACCGTACCCCCAATTTTCAATCGTCAATAAAGCTAGCCAAAAACGTACTCTGATTTTTCGGGAACAATTTTCGGCAACACCTCGGTCGCAGCCTTTTCGAAATGGGTGCATCCTCCTCATTTTCTTCCCCATTTTGAGGCCGTTTCCTCGGCTTCATCATCGTCAATTTGGGTGTGGGTTCGGAGGGTTGGATCCATGCCGGAATTTCGATATATAGCGGGCCAAAGGAAGCTTCAGGCGCTTTGGGAGAGGCGGAAGCCTCCAAAGCCGGTGAAGGCAATGCCGGGGAGCAATAGCCGGGTAGAAAGGCATCGGGATGGACGATAGGGGGCTCTGAGAATGGGATATCTTCCCAGTGTCGGGGCTGCACGTCTCCAACTTGTTCTTCCACCTCCTCTTCCTCAGAGAAAAGCCAATCGTGGAATGGTGCAAATTGGCCTCTCTCGTAGTCCTGTTCTGTCATTTCTTGGATATCAATAGGTAGATATCCATCTGCGGGTCCCTCTTCTACAGTAGGAGATGGACATGATGGTCTATCAATATCCATCATCATTTCAGAGCTTTCTGAGGGTGTTCGGAGGTGTATCCGTAGTCTGTCCCCCTCATCCTCTTCCAAAGGGAAAGACAGTTCTGTGGTGAGACTCCAATTTGAGTCGGAATTTCGGAGACTCGGCTCTTCTCTATCGTTTAGAGTTGAGGGGAATGAATTAGAACGGGAGAATAGATTGTGATTATGGTGGTGATGATCTCGATTCATCGATGGTAACAGAAGAATGTCTACGGTCATTTTCTGAAAAAAGCTGGCGTACTGTAGCTTTTAGAGGAGATGGAAAACAGAACAAAGAGAGGATTTCTGCAATGAGTCATCATTCGAAAATAAGGCAGAGAGTTACGGTAAGGCGAGAAACTACGCGTTTTCCAGCGGCCGGGGAGCTACTGCAAAGAGCATTATTTCGGAAAATGAGCGCAAAAAGTACCGTAGCGGAACTCGTAAAACGCATAAACGTAGCCCTAAAAATCAGAAGAAAAAGATGTATACGATAATGGGTAGAGTAACAAGCCGGAAAACCGGCAGAGTACTGTCAAGCGTAAAGCGCCGAAAATCGGCCAAGAGTACTGTATCGGAACTTTTAAAGGGTATCGCCGCGTCCGAAAATCAGGAGAAAAAGAGGTTTACGGTAAGTAAGGTCAAGAGTAGAAAGCCGGAAAAACTCAAGAGTACAACGGAAACCGATTACTGTAAAGAGTACAGACTCGGAAGATCAGCTCCAAATTACTGCAGAGTAACTATTAAATGGTATCGCTGCGTAGTGTTCAAAGTTAAGACTACGGGACTACGGTAGGCAGGTAAGGCTTGGTGCCAGATGCGAGATCCGGGACCAACAAGTCCAACCCCCCACACCCAGCCACCCTTTATATAGGAGGGGAAAGGGGGCGGAGACAGGCAAAAGAGAGAGAGACAGAGAGAGAGAGAGAGAGAGAGAGAGAGAGAGATCCCCTCGGGCGGGCGGTTCTTTCCCGAATATTCGGCACCCCTCTCTGACAATCCCCCTCGAGGGGTCTCCTCCCCCTCTGTACACATGTGTACCCCGTGGGGGGCGAGAGAGTGATGTCATCGAGAGGGGCGAGAGAAAGAGAGGGAGAGAGGGGAAGGAGAGTGCATAGAGCAACCAATCCTAGCCATGGTGCCCCCACCCTCAAAACACCCATTATAAGCCGGAATTTTCTGGAAATTGCTGGATTTATGGAAGTGGATGGTGCAAAAAGCGAATTGATATCGGAGCTTTCTAAAGAGTTATTCTCGATTTTTCGAGCGACTTTTAAAGGTCGATTAAAAGGGTCGGAAAGTCTTTTTGAAACCAAACATTTTTCTAGAGTCGCATTTACGATTCCCCAAGAATCTCTGCCAGCTTGCCAGACCCCTTTCCAAGTCAGCTATCTTTTGACCACATCTCGCATAGCCCTCTATCTCCCTCCCAAATTGAGCCAGCCTCTCTCCCAATAGCCCTATTCAAGGGGAAGGCACCATTTTTGAGCGATAGATTGGAGGCGAGAGAGAGCGAGAGAGACAGAGAAAGAGAGACGGGCGGATTATTGGCCAGACAGGGGAGGAACGGGTCAAACCCACGTCATAGCGTCTAGAGGGGCTGAGGGGGGGGGGGGCACCATTGTTGGGGTATCCCCCATAGAGAACGTTCAGCCGACACGAAGGCCAACCAATAATAATCAAAGGATGACGGGGTATCTGGCAGAAATCCTTGTGGAAAATTACAAATATAAATAGGCTTGGTTTGCAGAGACCACCTAGGAAAAGCTTTTTCAAAAAACAGAACTAATAGAAAACTAGAAAACAAACGAGAGCTCTAGGTAGGGACAGACTAGCCGAGATCATTTAGGAAATGCCTTTTTTTAAGAGAATAGACCTAATTTTGACGTAATTATAGGCTTTTGGGAATACTTTAGCGTCAGCTAGCAAAGATTATTGAGGCTCTTTAGCGTGTGACCGTAATCCTATGGTTTGTAGCCTACTGTAGTTCTGGCTAGTTCATTTCACAATTCTCCGGACCCAGTTCCGAACCCGCTCCACGTTGTTGTGGCGTTCCATATTCCAGGGTGGGTAGATCCGGTTCGCCCGGTATTTCTATGTGTCAATCGTAGCTTTTCGTTCCGAATGCACTCTCCTCCCCCTTTCCCCTTCCCTCCCCTTCCATGGCTAACCACGTAAACAACCCCTTCCCCATCCCGTTTGGATGTTCTCTGCTCCATCCGTCCAGCCGTACCCCAGTCCCCCGCTTCAAAGAGCCACCATGTTGTGGGTGCGAAAAGTTATAACTAAACGTGGGTTTTGAAAGGATCAGAGAAATCGGTTCTTTGGCATTATCAGGAGGGCTTTTTAATGCTTCCATTTTTCTAATCTAATTAGAGAAAAAGTTACTAAACTGCATTTTACTATTCCCAAATGTAAAAATTTTACAAAATGTTATTAGAAAATACAAAAAAATACGCTTTTTCGACAAAAATCTCCAATTGTTGGCCATTTGCAAAGCCTTCTACATAGATTTTTCCTTCAAATATGGCTAAATTTCGCCACAACAAGCTGCTAAAATACTAGATCGGAAACGAGGTAAAAAACCGATAGAGATCGGAACCCCCCGATAACGGAAAAGCTCCAGCGGAAGTTTCTCCTGTATCAAATAAGATACCGTATACCCGTTATTATCACTAACGCTCGTTGAAAATTGATTTACTAAAACATTCGTAAAATTATCAGGAAAGCCCCTATCCCCTTGCGGTCATGGAAAAGCTCCCGGGGATATCGTGTATAACCTCAGTTACCGTAGTACCCCGACCAAAGGATTTCCAAAGCTCCTTACGAAACCCTGATACTAAAAAGAAACGAAAAAGATTACTTATTGGTAGAATCCCCCCCGATAATGGAAAATACTAATCCAGCAGCTAATTTTCCCGTGTACCTAGTGAGATACGGTAGTATCCCAGCCAAAGTATTTCCAAACGCCCCGTTTCGCAACCTATGCTCATTTGCATATTTCATTGGCATCTCTGCCCTCCCCAAATTTCATCCCTCCCACACCAAAGGACACCATTTCGCAATGGCTAACTGGCAGAAATGGTGGCAGTCAACAAATAGCCCCAGGCTATGGTGTGGACCTCTTTCGTATTGTTTTGGTTGTGCAGTTGGTTGGGGTAGGGTAGGGTAGAAGGGTCCGTTCATGATTCATCGTCACGGGACCCCCACACCAGCCGGCCGATCGGACGGGGAGGGCTGCGCGAAGGGAAAGAAGTCATTTAGGGTGGGAGAGAGTGTGAGAGAGAGAGAGAGAGAGACAGACAGACAGACGGACAGACACATCTCCGACATAACATACAAAAAGCCGCCAAGGGAGGGCTGACCCTGGCGAGAGAGAGAGAGAGAGAGAGAGAAATGGCCCATTCGAATTGGTGTGCCCTCTCTTCCGCTTTTTCACCCCATCCATCGAGGCCTAGCCAGGGGCCGACCGGGAAAAACAGGCAAAAACTGGTGTGGGCTGACCACCACACCAACCCTCTTGGACCCCGGCCAAATGGCGGGAATTGGGAAATCGGCACGTAGCCCTCGAGGGGTCTGTGGTAAATTAAAGGGACCAGGAAGACAAGAAACCGGCGCTTTTGCCTTATCGGGGGGGGGGCGCCAATTTTTTCCTACACGTCCAGAAAGTCTAGTACTATATAGAAGTGTCTTAACAGTGGTTTTATTCAATTTAATTATAGTTAAAATGGAAAAATAAAAAATTCAGAAAAATTTTTACTCGATATTTTCATCAAAAATCGCTATTTTTGTATTTTTAATAAATTCGTAAATTCGAAATCAACAAAACAACCTTCAAAAATTCTATTACCAGCATATGGTTGTATTTTGGGGTACGGTAAACCCAGAAAATGAATTTAAAAAATACTGAATTACCGTAATCCGACGTACAGACTTTCAAACCCCAATTCGACAGTATCCCAGAAAGAAAAACGCACGTTTATTGGACGGGCGACCCCGAGAACGACGCCATGGTGCCGACACGCCCAACTCCGCTTCGGCACGAGATTCCAGCTCGCTAAAGGAGAAATAAAATTGTGACGCTCCCTTCCAAAGTGTACCTCCTCCTCTTGTTGATCTCCTTCCGGATATGATCAATATTCTCCGATATCATGATCTCATTCTGCTTCAGGTAGATCTTCCGAGCCCTAAAAACTTGTAAGGGGATACGGTAAAATGGTTACATTTTATATTTGGGCAATTTGTTGAGATGGCCCCTGTACCATCCATAGTGTTTATCCCAGCGGCATACTTGCGAGATCATCGATTCTAGCACCTAAAATGCGGAAAATAACTCTATTTTAATCAACCTAAAAAAAATTGGATAATGAATCACAAAAAATAATCATCGGTCTTTGCATTATCGGATCGAACAACTTTTTTCCAATCAGTCGAGAAATGCCTATTCACGTCATATTAATTGCTTTAATTGAGCATTTTACAACAAAATTTAACGATTTTTAAATGGGAGAAAATACAAAAAATTAGAGTTGTTTTAGTCGGTATTTTGGTCAAAATCTATTTAAAATACAATTTGTAAAGTTTTTACGTTCAAGAATAGTGAAAAACCTTGAAACACCTCTGCTTTTATTATTGAAAAATTCTGGTCCCAGAAAAAGTTGCTCCCCCCGATAATACAAAAGAACGTACTAATATTCTAACGGAGCTGTGGCGTTATCCGGGGGGGTGGTTTCGTCATTTTATGCCTATTTCAAGTGCAGAAACTATCCAAAAAATGTAGCCATTTTAGTCGAAAACTGAATATTCCGGATTTTTTGAGAAAAGCTCAAAACCTACCAATTTAATGCATTTCGTATCGGACGAATCGTTGGGCCGAGGCTGTAGATTTTTGCATAAATGCTCGGGAAAAATCGGGGCTTCGACGATTCTTCTGGAGAGCATTCCTTGGCCGGCGTGTGGAGGGCGAGAAGAGGATTGAAGGAGGGAGGATGAGGCGGACGACATTCCTGGGGGCTTCATCTCACCTCTAAAGAAAACGGGAATGGAAAATTTAAAACTTAACGCACCTTCCCTCTCCCATCGCATCATCCACTTCAAAATGGACGCTACGATCCGGGTTGTGGCGTCTGGAAAAAAGACAAAAATAAAGTTTTACGTGTGGTAACTGGTTACAAAAGTTCATTAAGGGGCTAGAAAAACATATAAATAAAATCTTAGCTATCGTCATCGTTTAAAAATTGGCATAAAAACCCACAAATGTGTAGAAATAATAAAACCGTTTTAGCTATCGTAACCAGCCCAAAATTCGGCAAAAAATAAAAATTAAGTTTTCTACGCGCTAATTAGCTATCGAAATCCGCGATCAAAATTGGCGAAAAATTTAAGAAAGCCAACTTTTTATGCGCTCATTTTATCCATCGTAATTGGCTACAAAAATTCGCCAAAAAACCAACTTTTGTATGCGATCGTAGAGATTGCGTCTGGCTGCAAAATCTCTATATGCAGCAGCGGGTGGCCTCATAATTGGTGATTGCATCGATGGAGGCGCCATCCCATATCGACGGATACCGCCCTGAAATTAAAATCACTGAAAAAAAGCTAGAAACTCACCCCAACAATGCGCGACTGGATGCCCATCGGCGGTCTAATTTGTGCGAGACGCGTCTCGGGGCCAGAGAACGGGGCCACTTCCATCCGCTTCATAAATGGATCATCCACGAAGCGGCTCATCTAAAAACGAAGAATATAAAATCTTTTTAATAGCCTTTTTAGTAAAATTCAGCTGTCTTTAAAGCCGAAAAACCATTTAGAAATCTTGAAAATTGTGTAAAAATTTGAATTTTTTGGTCGAAAATCGAGATTTTCGTATTTTTAAACTGGTTTTTGTGAACTTTTTGCGTCTAGGAATACTACAAACAATTTTAAACACGTTTTACCTGTTGTGGTCGATGCATTGGTGGTCGGAATGCGTTTGTATTCAACGTCCTCACTGTCGTCGTTCCAAATGGCCGACTTTGTAGACCGCCGGCTGTCGTGCGTTGGCCCATTCTAAAAGGAACTTTAGCTAATTTTGACTGATATTGCCAGAAAGCTTAATTTAATAATAAAATCCAGATAAAAAGCGTGTTTCTAACATTTTTAGCCGGATTTTTGCTCAGTATTACCAAGTAAAACGCACCGATTGATGCCATCCTCCCTGGGCGTGACAGGCCGTAATAATTGTGTGGATCCATCGGGTCTTCGAATCATCAGCACTTTCTTCCGCTCACATCCATTCCCGGGTCCTCCATATGGATGATGGCTATTTGTAGGCTGTGTCATTTGGGGGCCTCGAATCAGTCGCCGGGTGCCGATTTGGAGGGGTGGAGGACCCTTGTCATATCTTAAATTATCAATCCTTCAATTCCTCGCAAAAAATGACAACATAGCCTTGAAAAACTTGCATAAAAACTAACGAACCTGGGGATAACTGGCGGCGGCTCTTCACCATCGCCATTATTCGGATCCATTTCGGGTCTTCCAGAGAGATTTAGACCCTGAAAAATAGATAGAACCTTTTTTTAAGTTATTTTCGAGTTTTTAGAAATAAATTCCAGGATTATTATAAGTTTTTAACGGATAAAAAGATATGTTGCGAATGGCATCACGGCCAGACGATCACACCACACGTGTCTATTGGAGCGTCGCGTTTTTGCTGGGCTGTAGAGCGGATGGCTGACAAGCTAGCAGAGAGCGTTTTGGAGTAGATTTTGGCCCGAAAATGCTCAAAATCGTGATTTCAAAATCCACATTTTTCAGAGGGTTCAAAATTTAAAAAGCCTTTTCTAAATATGTTGAAAAATTATATAGATGTACTTTCGTATATTTACGCTTGTTTAATTCCACCAAAAATATTTAGTATAATGCATTTATCCGCGTTGATAATGCCATAAATCACAGACGGCATCCACAGAAAAGAAAAGGAAAAACACACACAAGATGACAAAATAAGAAGGAGACCGTATACATATGCACAAACTGACCCAAATACTCGTATCCTAGAATGAGTGGATTGTATTGTATCATTTTCTAAAAAATTGTATAGCCAAGAGGAAAGCATCAATCCGTAAAGCTGCTACTTGTACAACATGGCAATTAATTAGTCATCAAAAAAAGTGAGAAATTAATGGGGGGTAAGGCAACGAAAGCACACAGGAATTATCAAAAAAAGAGAGAATCATAAGTGTGAGGTTAATAAATGCTAGAAAAAGGGAGAATCAAGTCTCGGGTTCAGATTCGAGATGTGGGGGTGGTCTTTTCGGGGGTGCAGATGGTGGCTGTTGTTGCTGGACTTGTTGCTGTTGGCGGATGTGTAGTGGATGGCCATTGTCGACCAATGCCGGCACTCCACCATTATTCATCAGCACTCGTTGCACGGGAGGGCGGAACTGTTGTTGTTGCACACGTTGACCCTAAAAAGAAAATATTGTTATCTTTATTATTTGAAGCCTAAAACTGCCAAATTTTTGCTAAAAAATACAAAATTTTCGACTTTCGATCAAAATTTCAAATTTATAGCATTTTTCTGAGCTTTCTAAATGTTTTATTCATTTAAAATAACTATAATTTTAACGAAAACACTTGCTAATCATTGCTAAAAAGTTTTTAACAAGTTTCTGATAAAAAAATACAAAAATCTCAATTTTACCACCAAAATGGCACCCTTTAGAATTTTTCTAAGAGTTATAAAAACTTTTTCCACTGCAAATATCGCGATTTTTTACTAAACTCGATAGACCAATTCACCTCATTCAAGAACGGGCGTCGTGGATAGAGTTGTGGTTGTGGGGGTCTTGCGCCAGCCCCGCCAGGTCGAGCCTCATTTTCGGTGATCCGTCGAAGCACCCTGGAAATGAACAGGGTTATATTCGCGAGTCAAAAAATGCCTACCGATTGCCGGGTTCTCCATTCGGGCCAGGCACAGCTTCCGTCTCAAAGTATTGCGTTGATCCATCGGCTTTTCGGACGACAAGGATTCGGCGGGGTTGTTGGGTTGGCGCGCCGCGAATCACGGGGATACGTCGCATTCCCGGTTGACCGTCTTGTCTAAAATAAAAAAATAGGAATGAAGATGGCGATTCCCAATAAAAAGCCAACGCCGATAAAAACTTCCAAAACCTGGGAAACCAGGGTTTTAGGCGTCAAACGTGAAAACTCCATAAAAACATACAAAAATGTAGATTTTTCCAAAAAAAAAATTGAAAATTATAGACATTTTTTTCCACGTTTCTAGGATTTCTAAAAAAAACCCGAAAAATATCATACTGCAAAACAAACGCCGATAAAAATCTTCCAAAAGCTAGATAGATTTTTCACCCTAGCCCAAAGGTCCAGAACCGTTTTCGTTAAGTTATTAGAAAAGTTCTAACGATAAAATTAAGCTCCAAAAACTCGCCTAGGCACAAGAAGCATTTCCCTTTGCTGTGGTTGTTGCTGTTGTGGCGGTGATGGTTGATATCCTCCATTGATTCCATTGATAGAAGATGGCTGTTGTTGTGGCGGCGGCTGCCGGACGACGATATTGACGTGTTGCTGTCGTTGCTGCTGTTCCCCTCCGCCATTCATCAGTCGATTCGGGTGTTGTAGAGGGCCATCGTGGTGGGCGAGTACCGCCTAAATTTATCCATTAAATCAAGAGCAATAAAAAACTAGATTTTCGTTGTGATAGCCAATGGGACATTGACACAGACTGCGTAAAAACACGACAAACAAGCCAGTAACTAACATTCGTTTATTAATATTCACCCTGAGCACGAGCTATTACTCCTTTATAAGAATCTATCAACTGGCAGAGAGAACAAATATCAGAGGGCAAAAAGGCGGGGGGCAGAAACAAACATATAAAGACAAAAAGATGGGGGCAAAAAACTCGCTGGAGGTCCGTAGAAATGTCCGATTTTTACGATTTAGGTATCTATCGAAAGCTCTCAACGAGGAGAACAGGTTTATTCGCACAGATTTTCGTGGTTTTGATAGCATTATAAAAACTTCTATGCTTTTTGTGAAAATCGACGAATTTCAGATGCATGATGCCTAGACCAGGGTTTTTAGAAAAACCCAAATTTCCGAATTTTTACGCCTTTTCTGGCACCTAGACGGTAGCTATTTGAGTCTTTTTGGCAAATCATGCAATGTGGTTTCAAAAAACTAGCCAAAAAATGCCGAATTTCAAAAATCGCTGAAAACATTTTGCGCGCCTCGTCAAGAGCTTTCGATCCATACCTAAATCCCAAAAACCGGATAGCTAAAGACAAAAAGACGGCCAATAATACCGGGGGGATGCACCATGCTATTGTGGCGGGGGATCGATAAAGAATTCGTTCCAAACGTCGTCCATCTCGCCCACGTCCAGCTCCTCTTTGATCTCAATATTCGGGTTGAATTGAGCATCACCAGCCGCGGGGGGAGGTTGAAGTTGAACATCTACCAGCTCCTGCTTGACGGGCTGCGGGATGACGAATTGAGGGTGTTGCTGTAGATAGGGCATCGGTTGAGCATAATGATATCCGTCATATGCCTCGGGCTCCGTTTTGACTTGACGGATTGGTGGTGGGTATCCGTGATCTCCTCCATAGCTCCTAGCCATCCACACATTGTTGTTGCTCATCTGTACTTGTTGAAGTTGCGGTGGGAGCGAGGCGACAGGTCTTCCCTCCCTTATCACCAATTCTCCTTGTTCGGGTATTGTCGGCATTGGAGTGTCGATATTTTGGACATAATAATGGGGCATCATTGGCTGTGGGATAGGGGCTGGTGTTCCGTATTGTCCTCCATATCCAGAATATCCTCCTCCATCGTAATATCCGTATTGTGGAGGCGTGTAGTATTGTTGTGGGAATCCATATTGACCTTGCAGAGGATGGAATCCGGGCGGATACTTTCGAACGACCTGCTGAACCTGTTGGACGTGCTGGACCCGTTGAACGCGTTGGACTCGTGGCTGAGGGATTGACGGTGGTGCCGGGACTTGGCGACGAGATAGAGGCGTCTTGGAGAGTGGCTGCTGATTGCCCATCGTCCTCATTGCTTCTACGGCCGATTGCCTGAGTCGAGGGGGCCGTCCTCTCTTTCCGGTGCGTATCGTCACGTACTCCTCATCATCTTCCGCCTGAACAAAACACGTAAAAATAAAAAACCAATGCCAATTTTATTAAATCTAGAATTTTCTGCGCAAAATAATCGGCATTAATTTTAGCAAAAATAGATCATTGAAATCAATGCCAATTTCTTTTATAGAAATTTTTGGTTTTTTCTTTACATCAAGCTAAATTTTCTAGAATAAATAAACCATAAAAATAATATTTCTACAGTTCTTCGCCTTTTCTAGGCGAAAAACTGTTCCAAAACTGTCTTGAAACGTGGAAAAAAAAATAGATTTTCCCTCAAAATCGTCAGTTTTAGCATAAATTTAAATTTTCAAAATTTCTCACTTTTCTAAAGAGTTTTGCTGCTTCAAATATTGCTAAATTTCCAGGTTTCCCCCTAGAGAGCCTAAAAAACAAGGTTGCTGAACTTTTAGGCAAAAAAGTAATCGGCATCAATTTTCACAAGAAAAATGCGAAAATTGAATTGAAATAAAGAAATAAATGAAATACCTCCTGATGCAATTCGGGGCAATCGTCGTACTGTTCGAGGAGATGCTTGTGATATTGGGGCGGTAGATGGCGTCGCAGATTATAGGGGGCATTCGATTGGACAGTGGTAGATGAAGAAGCTTGCACTGATGAAGAAGAGGACGGGACAACAAACGAAAAACACACAACATTCCATTCCAAAAACACACAACACCCACCGGTTTCTGTTCCGCGGCTGCGTGGTACTGTTGATGATCATTGGCGGGGTCGAGGCGGGGCTGTTTGGCCTGTGGCGGGTGGTAGGGGCTCTACAAAAAATTTAAATTAAATCAAAAATGTGCACGAACCTCCAGATTTCCATTGGTAGGCTGAACGATGCCCTGTTGATTTGCATAGGTTCCTCGCTAAATTGAAAATTACAAAAATAAAAATTTGTAAAATACCGGAACAAGCTGCGGATCGGCCAGCCGCTTGCGGATCAGCACCCGGCCGTCTGACAGCTGGAGGCGATCACCCTAAACGAATTAGAAGGTTAAAAACATTACAAAAATTAAGTTAAATTTTAAAATTTAAGAAAAAAGTGAAAAAGCCCCACCAAAAGCTTGTTGACCAATTGGCCAGTGTCGGATGATGTCGAGGCAACGGGCACCCCACGATGCGTTAGGGCCGGCTGAAGACGAGGAGTCTCCTAAAAATACATTTTAATAGGAAAAAAGGCAAAAAATTCATTTTCATATCTTAAAAAAACTGACACTTCTGGTGGATGGGTTTCGTGGCTTCGTGAAGTCGACCGGCGAATGGACAGGCTTCTAAAAATCGGATTTTCATAGTCAAAAATAATTATATTTTTAGCCAATTAAACTTTTATAGCTCAAAATTTTGGACAAAAAAAAAGCCTACCGGTCTTGGGGCATGACGGAGAGACATGGCGGACCCTTGCTGTTGCGTCGCCTGGCGAGAGATTGGCTGCGGGCGATAGTGACCATCAGACTAAAAATAAACCATTTTCTGAATCAAATCAAATCCTACCCGTCCTCCCGGTTTTCCGCCATTTTTCTTTCGCCAGTAGGCCGTAATTTCCCAGAGCTAAAAAATACAAATAATTGCTAGGAAAGGTGAGCCAAAAACCTTCAGATCGACACCGTCAATCCAGCGAGTCTCGCTTCGTTTCGGGCCTCGAGCCCTCAGATCCGACCGCTTCATCGTCATCGACCTCTTCTTTCGGCCTAAAAAGGGTATATTTGCGCAAAGAAAGGCGAAACGTACTCCTGGAGCTGCTGCCCGCATCCGCGCCATCATCATCGTCATCGTCAACCATTGTTATGTCCACTTGAACTTGATACCTACAAAAAAAAGTTGAAATCCACAACTTTCCACCTACCGTTCATAGTATCCATCCGGAGGCATCTCCTTGTGGCCGATGACAATTCGTGTCTCATCGCGATCATCAAGATGTAGATGGAATCTCTTGTGTTTCTCCTCTTCATCAGTCACTGTTTGCATATCTCCCCATCGGATACAGGCATGAAGGATTCGGAGGTAGAGGCCCAGCACTTGCATCGATTTCGCGTGTTGTGTCGCCCATTTCCAGCACAGTTCGTATTGGGGCCGGGCACACGGGTAGTTCCACGCGTGCATGTTCGACTAAAAAAATCGATTTATTTTATTTTCTTTCATGAAATTCAATTTTTTTTTCGTCTGTTTATAAAAAATTATAAAATGCAAGAAAAAAAGGCCGAAGGCAAAAATATTTTTTTTAACTTTCTAACAACCAAAAACTACAAAACCCCCCTGCAAACAGCGTAGTTCCTTTGAAAAAAAAATGAAATTTGATTTTATTGTCACAATTTAAATTTTTTTCTTAATTTTAAAAAATACCTTTCCAGCCCTGCTGAATCCGGGGCAAAAGAATGCTGGGTTGAGCCCTCCATGTCTGGCGAGAATCTTGAGATATCGATAGGGAAGGGCGAGCAGACTCTCGGTGCCATTTGATCGTTGGAATGAGAAGGGCTTGGGGAGTGGGAATGGCTCTTCTTCACCCAGCACTTTCGGCGCGACAATGGATGGCTGTTGGAGGGGATCCTTGGCCACGACGATACCCGGGCAACTTGAGCAGATTGTCTCCGCTGGGACTGAATCAAAAAGAAACAATAAGACACAGAAAGTGGCTCTTACTGATGAAATCATGCCTGATGTCGACCTCGATGTCCTCCTCTTCCGCCTTGATCTCACGGCATTTCGGGGTCGAGCACTAGAAGCTCAAAAATATAGAAAATACCGCAAAATCCCACCGTTTTCACGCCTCCATTCAATTCTAGTGTTTGCTCGTCGTTTTCCCTAAAAAAGCGTAATACAGTGGGAATCTCCTTACGGGCAAGATGGAGATTTGCAGCGCCAATTTTCGGCGTTATTCGTGATGCCAGAGACGGCAGCTAAAAAAAACGATTAAATCGAACAACCATAAAAACTGACAATCCTCCTCGGTGTCGCGCCATTTCACCAGCTTCTTCAGCACGTCGGCAATTCGCTTCGGCGGTTTGCCCTTTGACGGCTACAACAGGTAATGCTTTTTGATTTTCGACAAAACACACGGACCTTGATGTCAAGCCCATTGATCATCTCCTCCTTGCTGTAGATCGGGGTTGGGACATATCTATAACAAACAAAAACTTGTTAAAAAAAGCTGTTATACCTCTTTTGATACGTTTTTCCAACCCACGCCCATCCACCCAACGCGCCCTTGCCGTTCAGCCGATATTGCTCGTCCTGAAAAAATTGGAAATTGACAAATACCGAGCTTTGTGGCTCTTCAAAACCCGAAAAAAACGCACCCGCAGATTCCAGAGCTTGTGCTTTGGCAGGCCGCCGAGCTTCGCGAATTGCACCCAAATCAAGTCGTCCGTCTCGTCGGGGTTCTGCAGGGCCAGCGCCTAAAAAAAGGCATAAAAATTGGAATTGCTCAGTCGATAGATACCTTTTCGAGCTTCCTCCTCTGTTCTTCAGTTTTTGACCGTTCGTCCCGATCTTCCTGGGTGGTGCGGAGAAAGCGGGTCGTCCCAATGCCGTTCCACCTAAATGCCAAGTAAATCGAAGCAATTAATTCTCACCAATGCTGGAGGAAAAGCGGCTTTCTCAAGCCGCACTCCAGCTGCATCAGGGCTTCGCGGAGACAGCGAACATTTCGCTCATCAAATCCCTAGAAAAATTCGGGTTTAAATTTAAATTTTTAAGTTTTTAAGTTATAAGTTTAAATCCAAAATTTCAGTTATAAGTTTCAATCCAAAATTTCTAAATTGTAATAGTTTACCTTTAGCCAAAGGGGTTCATAACCAGGCCAATGGCGATGGAAGAGCTCGATTGGCACGTCATTTTGCAGCTTGATCATCTGGAAAAAGAACTCAAATTAGCGATGAAAAAAAGTTATACCGTCTCTTTGAGGACGCTGAATGTGGACGCCTTGTTGTAGTTCTGGCCGATCGACGGGCCTTCGACCCACTAAACAAGAGATCTTATAAAAAAAGGAAAAATTGTACCTTGAATGGGAACTCATCGAAAGAGAATTTCATGCTGAGGTACTTCTTGCGATCTGCTTCCCGTTTTCGTTGAGCATGGGGCTTGGCGAGGTCGTCGTTTCGATAGTTACTATAACAAAAGAGGTATTTTCGGGGGAAAATAATCCTTACACATAGCCAAAGACGACCAGATCATCAAAACCGAGACGATAGCCATTGGCCAGGAGGTCGGGGCCATTGCCAGTCTCGCGGCAGAAGGTTGGGGCTGAAAAGCAAGAATTAAAAGCCATAAAATCATTCCCTACCTTCAAGATTTCCAATCCAGAATGGGCTGGTCCATTTTCCCTCCGAGAGACCCATCATTGGCTCAAGTTTAGCCACAATCGGAGCCATGCCCTCTTCTTTTCGCGTTGATAGGATACGGGCCGCACGGTTGGCTGAAAAGACAAAATTTTCGTTTCGATATATGAGCCGAAATTTCCGCTAAAAAATTTACCATTGTCAAGGCTGAGCACGGCGTCCTGGAATTCCTTTCGAGCGGCGTAGGCGACCTGCACCCGTTCCATCCGTCGCTCATTCGTCAGCTCGACGGTGATCGACATTTGCTCGATGATGTCTATGTGGATTGTCTAAAAACAGCATAATTTTTAATTTTTGATGAAACTGACATCAAAAGTGGCCATCAGATCCTTTTCATAGAGCTCGCCATCAAGCCTCGACAGCAACTCGTGTATCTGGGGCAACGTCGAATAGTAGTGGACGGCGTTCTTCTCAGGATCATGACTGCAAAATATAAAAATGAAATAATTGGGAAATGGCCTACACAAAGATTCGGCGAGCGATGAACCAATAGATACGGGCATGGCGATCCTTTCCGAGGGTCGGGATTCGAATCGGGCATTTGTCAGCCGTCACACCAAATGGAAGACAATCCGACAGACCGCGACACTGAACAAAAAAGAAATATGAAATTAACACCGGAAACGTACCCTTTCTTTGGTGCATATCGGGCAATACCATGGGTCATTCTCCTTCTCCTTATCCTGATTCGGCTGCTGATCCTTTTGCAGACATTTCACATGGTACGACGCGTCACAACTAAAAGCAAATAGATAAATAAGCAAGAAGTGGGTACCTGTCACACATCACAATGTCTCCCAGCTTTCCACACGCCCTACACGTCGATTCCGACTGAAAAAAACGCGCTTTACTTTTAAAAACATCAGAAATTATACCATTATTTTGCCCTCCTCCTTGATGATCTGCTTGAAGACGGCGCTTTGGAGGAAGCAGCTCTGCAGCCATTGCAAAACCTAAAAACACACAGACAACTTCCAGCGAAAAGAAGGTAATCTACCTCCAAACGAAGCGAGACAGGGGAAAAGGGATAATCGCGGGTCTTGATCGATTCGGCCAGGTCTTGCGGGTAGCGCTGGTCGGCTTGGATGTAGAGGCGAAGGACCTGGATTGAAAATTAAATAAAAAGAGAGCATGAGCTTTACCTCGGCATAATTGTGCTGATCGACGATTTGAGTGAGCAGATTCCAGCAGACAATGGTCTCTTTTTCACTACATTGCACGTGCTTCTCGTCGTCCTCTCTAAAAAAACAATATAAAAAATATTCTAGAAACCCTGACCTCCAGATAAGCCTGAGAAGAGACAGATGGAGCTCGGCGAGGAGTAGAGAATTGCTCTCCGAGACGAGAGCCGTGCAGAAATCCTCGAAAAGACACGGGCTGATCTGGAGATGGTAGGCGTAGACGTGGTAGAAGTTGTGCAGCTCGGTCACGGCGAGGATGTGCTCTTCGGGGATCTTGAGGTCTTGGCTCGATTCGGGGAGGATGAGCTCGGGCAAATCTTCAGGGTCTACGCTCGCCCACGGGGCTATGTCGTCTTCCTCATCCTCGACATCAATCGATCCAAGGTCCAAATCTTCGCGCTCATCCTCCAGCACATCTTCATCTAAAAAGACATAATAATAGGCATTTTTCTCCTAAAAATTCATACCAAAAGACTGTTTGAGATCATCGACATCGCTCTCCTCCTCTGTGTCCTCGGCCTCACTGTAGTAGTCAGTGTAGTCGCGCTTTTTCCGGGATTTCTTGGACCTGGTCGAGGCGGCTGCGGCCCTGAGAAGGACAAATATTATACGAAAACGCTTTTTTACTTTGGCGGTGGCATTTTTGGCGTCTCAGCTGTCAATCGGGACGATGAAGAGGCCGTGGAGCCGGCTGGAGAAGATTTTCTGGGCCTTCCCTTGATTCCTCTGGGTTTCAGCACCTAGAAAAAAATTGGAAAGCGAATTTTGAAGCGCTACCTTTCCGGTGAGCCCCATGGTGGTTGGCGGGGTGATTGTCTCGCGACGGGGTTTCGGCACTGGTGTCGAATAATCATCATCAGCCAACGATCGCTTCCCAGCATTTGCTCTAGAAATGACCAGTTAGAGATTACGGCCAAATGCGTACCTTTTTGGTCTACCCGACATTGTCAGTGCGTTTTGGCATAGAAGAACGGGTGCGCACTTCTTGCTGAAATGTTAAAGTTATATGCTAGTTTCAGGACGAAGAAATGAAAAATAGAAAGCCAGAAAAATGGGAATATAAAGGATTTTCGAAGCTTGCGGCTAGAAAGGGATTACGTATCTTTTCGAAACGAATTCCGGTAAGGAATCAAGTCATTTCACAAAGTAAACTAAGGATTCTAGCTTTTTTCAATGCAAAGACGTTTAATTTTGCTTTTCCAACCGCGATAAAAGCAAAAACCGGCAAATTTTAAGCCGCGCAAGTGTTTCGAAACACCAAAAATCATCAAAAGCTATAGTTTTCATTCAAAATCAAGATTTCCCCTTTTTAAAACCAACAAAAACCAGGAAAACAGCTGATTTCCTTCTCTTATCGTATCCCCCACACTTTTCATATCTCTACTTTCATCATGATACTCGATTTCCACTCCAAAGCCATCCCCGACCCACATTCCCCTAAAAGGTGTCCACCAACAAAAGTCATACTGTAATCATGGTAAACAAAAAAACATATCGTAAACAGTTACGCCATTAGTATGGTTGCGTAGTTGCCAGAATTTAAACTACGCGGCTTGACGGGCAAAACGGACACCGACAGACAGACATCACCACGGAACTGGGGTTAGAAGAGGAAAAAGACAGAGAGGGGCAAGAGAAAAAGACCGCTGTCACACGCGCCTCGCACCCGCAACGCGGCCCTGTCCACGATTTAGGAGGGGAGGGGATGGCGCCAAAGGGGAAAAGGGCGGTAACGAAGGCTGGGAAATGTATAATCTTGTAAATTAAGAATGTTTTCATGTGGAAAAGATATTTTTAACAATATAGAATGGAAAACGATCCTCAGAATGTCCTTAGGTCCAAAAATTCGGAACTGGAGTGAAAAATGGTATTTTCAGCGCCAAAAATATTCGGAGGATTACGGTAACTACGAGGCTACGGTTGCAAAAATTTGTTTTACAAGTCGTGGATCCCACTAGAGACTTTGGCTTCGTTTCTGGTGCTTTTTGACGTGGTAAATCTATGAGAAAAGCATATTTATTGATTTGTGCTCATTTTCCGACGCCAAATCCGACTCCCTTGTTGATCTCGAAATCGCCGATACCTCCGGGCAGATTGACGGAATCGTGGTCAACCTAGAAAAGTAGTTTCGATAAAAATCTAGTTATTTCAATCATTATAATAATTAATGGTCAAGAAAAAGGCCCTTTACAAACCTTTCCACTAGCAAATGGCGCCTTTTTGTTGAGGGCTCCATAGCCCGGTTCATATCCCAATCCGCGCGATAGCTGTTTACGAGGACGGGGCGGATTTAGGGATTTTAGGACTGAAATAACACAATTATAGATTTCTTTAGAGAAACTATTATGATTATTAAAGAGCATAAACAGGACAAACTTTTTCCAAGGCCAGCAACATTTGGAATGCCGAATGAACGGAGGAATTCCCCGGTGGCACGCCGATCAGCCGATGACGGCTCGGCACCCGGGCCACCAAATACAGCATTTCCGGTTGGGAAACTGAAAAAAAGGAATCTTCAAAATTACATTGGCATTGAAAAGCATTACCCGGTTTTTCTTGTTTTTGCCATAACTCTTTATTTTGCATTATTTTGCGCTTAAATTGAGTATATTACGAGTTTTAGTAAAATTTAACTATATTTTAGGTGACAGAAATAGATAGAACGACTTAGAAAAAATGTCTAGGTGAAATTTTGGTCGAAACCGACCATTGGTCGAAAAATCTAGGTGTAGGAAAAATGTTGGCCCCCCGATAATGCAAAAGAACCGGCTTTTTGTAGATTTTTCGAGGCTCTATCGGATGTCGTTGAAAAACTCCCGAAAAATATCGTTAAATGTAGTATCTGTGTATTAATATCATTGTTTTTGAGTTATAACGTACCCTCTATCGAGTGCATCAATTGTCCTAGCGGGTCCTTGTCCAATTCTTTTCCCAGTTGCCCCAATCTCCATTCCATTATTGATCATCATTCCGCCGATTTGATTGAAGAATGGCAGATTTTCGTGGCCAATATCGGCACCCTGCGACGAGACCACAGAAAACCCTGAAAATACAGTTTTTAGAGCGGAAATAGGATAAAAAACCAGTTTTCTGACTTTTTTACAAACCTGGCAACATTCCAGTGCCAAACGCGAAACTATTGCCCATTCCGAAATTGCCATTTTTCTGTTTTTGGCCGTATCCCTCGGGTCTTCCCTCATCTTCCGGATTTCTGCCCGTTCTCGAGGGGTAGAGATTTGTATTTGGGACGCCGCAAATGTCCGCGTATTCTTGGCAGAACACCTGGAACGGGTTAGAGACTATTTCTCACCGTGACAATACTAAAAATACAAAAATATCGATTTTCAACCAAAAATGACCGATATTCGACCAAACTTCAAATTTTAAGCTTTTTCTAAGTTTCTACGTAGTTTTTTTTTCACTGAAAATGTAAGTAAATGTCTATAACATACATATAGACAGCGTTTCTAATCTGTTTTTCTAGTTCTAAGCGTAAAAACTTTCCAATTTTCTATAAGAAATACAAAATACACGGAATTTTCCACGAAAGGTCTGATTTTCGAAAGATTTCAAATTTTCTAGCTGGTTTTTCCGCCCGAAATAGCTTGATTTTGTTAACACTATCAAAATACCTACTATATTACGTTATTAGGAATTTCTGGAAGCATAGAACAAAAACAGGTCCCTCCCCCGATAATGCAAAAGCTCCGATTTTGTATATTTAAATATTTTGGGGTTTTCAAAAATACCTGCAGATCGTAGCGCAGTTTCTTTTGGGGCGCGCAAGTCACCTGAAAATGAAAATAAAAAGGAAATATCTTTAATGTTGGTTACTTGGAAGGTATACTGATTGGCGGGACAATATCTCTTTTCGCGATGATCTTTCTGAAGGGTCGGGAATAGGGTGAATCTAAAATAGTTATTTTTCGTTTCTAAATATCTTTTTGGCTACAGTATATTATGGGGTTGTCGTCGTGGTGGTCGTGTCGTTCGAAATGATCGTGGAAAAGGGGTTGTGTCTTCGACTGGGGATAATGTTTGTACTTCTTCTTCTTCCTCTTTCTCTTTCGAGTCTTCTATCTAGGTTTAAATAATTTTTTAAATACTGAAAATAGTCGGTTCTTTTCCATTACCGGGGGGAGGCTGGCCGGTAACGTAATAGTAAATATTTAATAGTGTTTTTAGTAAGAGTTAACTATGTTTCACGTGGAAAACTATCTAAAGCCTGAAAACAATTTAAATTTTCGTCGAAAAAGGTTCTTTTTGGTCGAAAATCTATAATTGCGGATTTTTTGATACAAAAGTTGTAGCTTTGGAATAGTAAAAACAATTTAGGAATACTTTCTATAATTATTTACAAACAAATCCCCCGATAATAGAAAAGCACCAAATAACCACCACCACTTACCAAAAACCCCTCCAACTTCTCAATCGGTCGATTCGATTTGAACTTATCATCGGAGATTTCTGCAGAAATGGCATCTTTTTGCCGGCTATAACTTTAAAAATGAAAATCAGGAAACTTCAGACCGATACTCCTTACAATACGGTAATTCGGGGCGTCTTTCACAGGCTAGATCTGTTAGAGAAGGCCGGGAATCCACTGAAAATATCGAAATTCGTTACAATTTCTGCAATTTTTCTGAATTTCAAATTTGATTTTAAAAATAGAAAACCGAGATCACAATTGAAAATCGTGATTTTTACCTGAAATGACGACAATCAGGAGCAAATATAAAAAGAGACCTATCATCGGCAGCGAATCCAAGAATTATGATGTTTTGGGTAGAGCCAGCTGTTTTTTATAAGCGAGTTTCCGTAAAAAGGTGGTTAGCAGAACCGGGGTCGGGATGCCCGCTGTGGTGAGAGGAGAATCGAGAAATAGATCTCTTCCTCACGAACTGACCACCTTCAAACCGGAATTGCCAATGGATGGAGAGAAAGCGAGGGTTAAGCCTAAAGCCTAAAGGCTGGCAAATGGCTCAAATATCCGCCTGGGTACGGTAATTCTGGTCCTTTGGCGTTATCGGAGGGACCAAATTTGCCTATACGCCAAGTGAAAACTATCTAAAAAAATCTAGAAAAATTTGAAATTCGGCTCTTTCTAGATATATGGAGAAGTGGCGGATACGAGGCTGATCGCCAGAGAAATGCGCCCAATCACTCGTAAAACCCCTATACTAAATACAATCGTCATTGATTATCAACCGGAACCAGAGATCATATATAAAGAAAGGGTATTTCTTTTTCTCTCTATTGTATTTCAATTCCATTGGCAACGCGTCGTCATCGTCACTCAAAATTATGGCCCAAATGTGGAAGCTGTGCTAAACGACTGCAAATCGGCCAATTTTGATTTAGGGAAATTGGCAGAAGGATTCCTAATCTATAAAATGCCGCCGTCTGACGATTGATGGGTGGATTTCGACAGTACTGATACGGTCCAACCACGCATCCATCCCTCTCTACTCCCTGCCAATTATAAATAAGATGTCGAAGCCATTGAACAAAACGAATTATTGAAATAAATAAAAACTGTCACTAATCTATCACAAAGCAAATCAAAAACCGTTAGATATATTTGTTGGCGAGGGCGAGCACTTTGGAGAATTGGGCATGATCGCGCTTCTCGAGCAGTTTGGCGGGGATCGGCTTCATTACACGGTTCCCCAGCGGATTTCCCTCTTCTTCTAGCAACACTAAAAAGAAACTATTATTTTGGCCTTTAAAAAGGTGATACCAATATTATTGGTGTCAGTGCTGGGTACGCCGTGTTGTCTCATTTGTCGATGAACATGGGCACCCACAACGTATGCCTTCCGCATTTGCCCACGGATCGCCACCAGAATCTAAATGTTTACGATTAAATAAACAAAAACAATGCTGCTTTTGCATTATCGGGGGAGGTTAGCGTGGTCGTCCGCATTTTAATAGTTTGTAGCGAATTTTAACTATATTTTAACTAGAAAAACTTCAAATTTTTGAAAAGCTGAGCTTTGGTCAAAAAAAATTGATATTTTTGAATATTTTAACGCAAATTTATGAAGTTTTTACGTTTAGATATAGTAGGAAAAAGCGTGGAAATCAGAAACATTTGATCCTTAAAAAGAAAAAATTCCAAAGAATCAAAACAATTGAAAATACCTTATCACCGAGTCCGGCTTTGGGCATGTGTTTCGGCCGTTTTCCCTGTTTGTACGTGTGGATACAGTAGGCCAATTTGCCGCTGGCGTGCGCCTCTTTGCCCAACGTCGAATTGTCCACCACCTAGACGTCCATTTTAGGGCAAAGAATCCAAAATGTACCATTAATCGTGTCCGGCGATGAATGCCAAAGGTGGGGGCGCGCGTCCGGTGCTTCGAGAATTCATACCTGAAAAGAGAAATGTAAATAAAAAACTCTGGAAGTTAAAATCCCGTGTTTTCTGTGTTTTATAGTGCATACTTTTTGTGCAGCTTTCAAACTATCAATTATTTATTAAAAAAACACTAAAATACAAAATAATACTCTTAATTACACATAATAAGCGCCATTCCACACAAAAGATCTCTTCTTCTCTTCGGGGACATTCTGATGTTGATACGGACAATGGCGACATCCATTCCCACAGCATTTCCCATTGAGAAGCAATTGTGAGACGGTCATCACTTGATATCCACTGATTGGATCTTTATATTGAAGTCTCCTCTCTTCCACAGCTCTCATATGTGCCAAATAGATTGTCCTCTCATCGCTCGTCATCCCATCATACGATATCCACGGCACTTTACAGCGTGCTATCGATTCCTCGAACAGCGGGTAATTCGCCAATACTTGCCCGTCTTTCCACGGCACAACTCCGTACGCATCTTCCTTGCCGTTTCCGCGAGGTTTGTAGTAGATGGGGGCCGCGTTCTCCTTGTTCAACACCAGCCCTTCTCGTGGAGACGTCTTGGCGACCATTCTCGTTGATTTCGCATCATCAGCAGCAGGTTCATCCGTTGAGGAGGTCGGCGATTTGGAGCTGTACGCGGGATAATGGCGTCTGGAATGGCTGGAGCAGCTGTCGTTGAAATTTTGGCGGAAAAGGTCCGGTAATGGACTGTTATCAGGAGGGAACGAATTTTTTTGCCTCTACTTACACTCTAACAAAAATAGTGTATTTTTGTACTGTTTTTGTAGTTTTTGATTGCTAGAAAGAATTAGAAATAAAGAAGATAATAAAAATTAGAAGATATTTAAATATTTTCGAACATTCGAAACAGCCCTTCCCCCTGCTAACAGTCCAGTACCAAAAGTTCTGACAAACGCAAAATTGTCCAGAATCAGAATCACACAGCAACAATACAATGATTTAATTAACTTGTGTTTTTCTGTAGATTTACTGAAACTATAGACAAAAAGAGAAACATACTCTGGCTGTGGCCACCATCGTCCGGATGCGCTGGCCGCTGAGACGATCGATGAGCATGGGCGATTCTGCAGTATTCGCGAGAAGATGCCCAGCATCTGCAAAAAAAACTAAGTATAAAACAGGTGATCAGTGAAAGGAGATCAAAACGGAAGAAAACCGTTGTTAATAAGGTTAAAATCATATTTGCCAAAAGTGTTATCGGACGCACTTTCAAAAACCCAGCCTTCTTTTTAGAACATAACGAAGAAAAAGGGGAAATATAATACTTTTTATAACAAAAAGAAACTAGCTTTTTTTGAGAATCTCAACCTCAAAATTTTTTCATTTGGTAAACTTCGAAAACGCATGGGGATACATGTTTCATATGTCGAGAGGAGTCCGGTGTAGCCGCTGATTTGGAATTTGGTCGAGATCGTCGAACCGTCGACCATCAACGAAAAACTTCTAAAATTCACATTTTTGTTTTATTGACGTTTTAAATAGTTTTTACTCTTGATAATAATATATATTTTTATCTAGATGGGCGCCAATCTATCGGCGAAGAAAGAGCCGCCGATAATTGCCGTCTGCGATGCGCCGGTGTTTTGTGTGAAGAAGATGGGGACACGGTAAGGCGGTTTTTTGTTTTTACCTTTATTTTCAGGCATTTGTTGGTGGCTGGTGGAGGTGGTGCGGCGAAGACCGGGGTTCCAAACCAAATAGAGGTCCGTTTATTGCGTTTTACAGCTTGGAAATCGCGAATTTAGACGTTGCTCATCACGTTCGACCCGAAGGCCATCCGATTTCCGTCAGCTGGTGCGGCAACGAAGGTCACCAACAAGGTATAGTCCTTGATTTTGGGAGAATCAGCTTCATTTTAGCTCAACACCGATCCATACGCGACGATGACATTGGATATTGCGCATATCGAGCATCCGGTGACTGGCACTTATTTGATCGCTGCTGGACACGATCAGGTCAAGAATCGAGGCTCCAAAGACGATTTCTTTTAGTATTGCAAACTGTACGAGACGACTGGCTTCGAGGTTGATCCTGAGGAATTCAAGAATGATCCGAAGGTAGCTAAAAATTTTTTTTTTGTATTATAAATTTTTTCCAGCATCTCGGCTTCAAATGGCGAGAGGTTGGGCGATTGACAACGACAGATCTACAAGAGAATGCATATCTTGTAAGGATCCTCTAATTTCTAGCTAGATTCTCTGCTTTAGAAAGTGGTGAAATTCGATCGAAGTCGACCTCGAGGGCAACGATTGGCCACTGGCAGTACGGATGGCCATATTCGAATGTGGGAGACGAAGAATATCTTTGACAATCGGGTCCGTTGATTCATTACGCGAGCAAATACCCAGGTTCTTTGCATTATAGGGCCGATGCAATTTTTTAAAGGACCCAATTTTTCTAATATAACGTAAAAACTCTACAAATTTTGCATTAAAAAATACAAAAACATCGATTTTCGACCAAAATTTCAACTAAATTTTTCCTATGTGTTTAAGTGTTTTTCCACTTAAGCTATAGTTAAATTTTACTAAAAACTATTAAAATACTTGCTATTACGTTACAATGCATGTTGGAGTAACAGAAAAAAAAGCCTCCCCCTCGATAATGCAAAAGAACCAATTCCTTTCAGGACCCAACACTGACGCACCATCCAATCCTGGATATTGCCGTCAATCAATCAGAAGTGGATGATCTCGAATTCTCGAATGATGGATCGATTATTGCATCTGTTGGCGAGGGAAAGGTATCTTAATCCTATTTTTGGAATATTAACGGAGTTTCTAGGCTATATTATGGGATGTGAATAGCGGAAAGAAGCTTCTCGATCTGCCGATGCCCGCCCCGGAATGGGAGAAAAAGTACAAGGTAAGACTTCGTGGTGTAAAAAATTGTATGAATTATTTTTGTAGGTTCGCTTCGTCCGTTTCACCCCGTATGGTGAAGGGAGACACGTCTTTGTCGTCGCCTACAATCAAATTCAACGGTATTGATTTTAAAAGCGTTTTAACTATTTTTTCAGGAGTTCCAAATCGAATTGCTATGTGGTGCTGTGGGCGTATAATAGGGAAAGAGCCGCCTGTCGACCCGTGGTCATCAAGGAAATGCCGAAAGAGGTACAAATCGAAGGTCCTTGTGTATTATCGAGGGGATTTTTTTTCGTATTGGTCCGTAAAAACCTTTACCGATTTCCAAACGTTTTGATACTGTTTTTAGTCGATTTAAATTCGAAAAAATGTAGAAAGACGTTTAAAATTTGAAATTTTGCTTGGTATTTTTGGACTTTTTCTAATAAAAAAGATTTTTATGTTAGAGAATAGCAACAAACAGTAAATTTATGTATTGTGCATTTCTTAGCTATATTCCAAGTGTGAAAACTATCTAAAAAACGTAGAATATTTTTTAAAACTTCACAAATGGCTCGAAAATGGAAATTTTTGGGTTTTTTCTTAATTTTCTAGGTTTTAAGTATAAGAATACTCAAAAATATTTAAAAAAGTATGCCCCCCGATAATGCCAAAGCGCCAAGCAATAAGCTATATCGATAGATTTATATGGTTTTTAGGCGATCGCGAGTCTATGCGTCTCCCCATGCGGCGATTTCACGGGTGTTGGCACGATGGAGGGCACGGTGGCCATTCTCGATACAAATGATATGAAGACACTGCTATTCAAGCCAAAAACACACGGTAGCAATTTCTATATATTTTTATCTTATTTTGTAGGGATTTTTGTGACGAGCCTCGAATTTCTGGACCGAGTCGCCCGCGATCTACCCAGCGAATCGACACAACAAAGTGAGAATTTTTGTTGCTTCTAGCTAATTTTACCTATTTTCAGATGGTGCTCATCCCGCTGCTCAGCCGATCCTCCCCGGTCCATCAGCTGCCTGTCGTGCCTCTCTCATCTCTCTATCTGCCGACAAGACTGTTCAGGTATTTGTGCCTTTCGTAAATTTAATGGCCGAAAAATCGGTACTTTGGCATTATCGGGGAGTGGCAGTTTTTTCTCAGGATTCAATTTTTGTGATATAAATGTAGGAAGTGTTTTTAACCGTTTTTCCATATATAAACGTAAAAAGTTTACAAATTTTGTTTAAAAAATAGATTTTCGACAAAATTTCAAATTTAGAAGATTTTATGAAATTTTTAAGTTGTTTTTCACTAAAAATATGGTTAAGTATACTAAGAACACTATTAAGATACTTTTATTACGTTACTAGATTTTCTATTTGCCACCCCCGATAATGCACAAGATCCCAAAAACCCCTTTAATTTTCAGTTGCATCAACTTCCGTTCCCGGAATCGCCGTCTCTATCATCTGCTCTATTCTGGACTGCCCTCTTTCTTCTTCTCATCCAATTCTTTGTCGCATACTTTATCTTGTGAGTTTCTCTCTCTCTCTCTCTCTCTCTCTCTCTCTCTCTCTCTCTCTCTCCTCTCTTTTCTGTTTTATGATGATGTTGACGGGTTGTCTTTCTTTCTCTCTCTTCCTCCACTTCTAATTCTTCAAACAACAATGTGATCCACCCCTCATTCTGCACATCATTTTTTTTGGGTTAAATAAATTATTTATTTATGGCAGGCCGTGATAATAAATTTGAGAGGTATGGTAGTGAAGGGTGCCTTCTACCAATTTCCCAAAATGAAAATTGGCTCGTTTGCAGTCACTTCGCACAGCTGCTACATCTTGGCCATAGTTTTGGCCGACAACAATGTGACGTGGTGACTGAAAAGAGATATTGAAAGCGTTAGAATTATTTATTGATCTTACCGTTCGATCAAATTGTGTCGTTGCCTTGTCGGGTTGATAATAGACAATAGTGGTATCTTGTGGAATAGCAATTCTATTGACAGAATGCCATTCTTTCGATATGATTGTCCTCATTCCCAATATACCACCAAACTACAAATAAAAGGGTTTTTAGGTGAGACTATCTTTTTGTTGTTTACTTACCCTGCCTTGTTTTTGATGGTAAAAGCGAAAAGGAATAATATTGAGACGAAACAGGCGTTTGTGATTGTCTGCTGGAGGATTCTGAGGAATTACGCGAGAAACTGTTGAAAGGGCTTCAAACAAACTTTGCTAAGGATGAATTGAAGAAATGAGTGCAGGGTGTTATTGAATTCTTGTCGATTAAACGTTTTGACAGTAATATCGATATCCAAAATCCTAGTATCCGGCAACTAAAACATTTTTAGCATTATCAGATTTTATGCTTACCCGTTCTAATATGATTTGCCCATTATATGGGTGAAATGCATCGATTGTTGTGTATATCTAAATAGATGGAATATCCCTTTATTGTAACTTTTACGGGACTTTCCAATTATCGGGGGGGATGGGACCAACATCTTTCTTAGCATCCAATTTTTCAAAAATAAATAGTCGAACCGTCTAAACAGGTTCTTACTGCGCCAAACTTTAAAAAAACGTTACAAATCTTGATAAAAATGCGAAAAAATCGATTTTCCACCAAAAATGGTCATTTTTACCTAAATTGCGATTTAACATTTTTTCAAGTTTTTAAAACTATTTTCCCACTTGGCATATTGTTAAATGTGCCTAAACGGAATTTAGGACTTTGAGGAAAAATTCGCCCCCCGATAATGTGAAAGCACCGATTTAAAATGTACCTTATAAGGGGGATTATTGTGATTGTATGTGATATCCAGATTCTCTTTTAATCCCTGGAATATAGACGATTTAGAAAGAAAAGAATGAATAGACTTACACCATTCCATCCCCATGTTTCCAATATATAGGGCATTTGCAGGATATCGATCGTCGATTCATTCAATATTTTATAGGGCAAATTTCGGATGGTCAATTCTCTGGGCCTCAGTTTGAGGAGTAATCGATTTAGTTGATTTTGAAAGTAATTGATTCGATCGATATTGTCGTGTTCTATTCTCCATTCGATCAATGTCTCACTTTCACTTCGAAGCGCCAATTTTCTGGAATACAAACAAGTTTAAAAATTTTCTAAACCGGAAATTTTCGTCAAAAAGCGTCTATTTTGGGCGCAAAAATCGCATTTTTGTATTTGTAAACTAAGGAAATTGTCTAGTTGACATTTAAGAACAGCACAAACAGTTTAGAAAAGCGTTTTCTACTTATAATCGAAAAATAGCACAACCTACTCTTTGAAATAACTGATTGATCCCTGGAATTGTCTATATTCAACCAATATCATCCCATTATTTCCATCATTATCATTATCCAATTCTATTTCCACTCGAAAGTCCGGGTCATTTATTGAAAATTCTTGTTTGAATGTCACAATATCCCATTGTAATAGATTGGATATTTTGATGGTGGCTACAGGCCCACCAAATAATTCACAATTTCGATGACCATTTCTCATCTTCTAGAAGCGATTTTATGCATCGTAATCGATTACCGTACCTTATTGACCGTTCGAAGTTGTAGTTTAGAGTTTGGGGTCGTGTTTTTATAGACTAAATCTTGGAGGAAGGTTGGTAATTTGTCGATAGGAAAACGAGAACGCATCGGCATACCTGGAAATCACTCAAAAGGTGCTTTCGCATTATCAGGGGGGGGGCAAACAAAAACTTCCAAACTACCAAAAAAATATTGTTTTTCCCGATCCGAAACGTAAAAACGTTATAAATTTTCATTAAACAGTGCAAAAGCATCGATTTTTCGACCGAACGTGACTGATTTTCGATCAAGCTTCAAAATTTTCTAGTTTTTTTGGATGGTTTCCTGCCTAAAATAATTTAATTTTACTCGAAAACTTATTAAAACACTTACTATTTGCGTTAATCGGCATTTCCGACTGATACAAAAATCAGAACTAACTGAAAATAGACAGCAGAGGGCAAACTGGCAGTGATTCCTTGGAGGGAATGATGAGAGTTTTGCTCCTTTTGCCGATATAGGTCGCTTTATAGCCCGCAGGGTATATTGGCATGCATGGATTGATTGGAAATTATTGGGCACCACAGGTGGATTATTTAGAGAAAAAGGAACCCCTACACGCAAAATATAACCGGTTTTTATAGCATTTTACACAGTTTTCAAATATCAAAGCTCATAAAAGCTTCAAAATATTTCGAAAATTCGATTTTTTGATGAAATTTATGCAAAAGGGCTAAAAAAGTAAAAATTTTCGAATTTTACAACTTTTACAACTATTTTTGATAACTTTCTAGCAAAAAAAAACTAATAAAAACACCAAAATGCATATGTTCTGTAGGCTGAAAAATAAAAATAATGTGCCCTCCCCCCGCTAACAGCCCAGTACCAATTTTTATTAAAGGTAGCCGGACAGAGCGAGATCACGATTTACGCATTATCGTCATGAGGTCAGCTAGTACCTGCGATTTGTGGAATTTTTATTTGGCTTTGGGCCAAATCTTTTTCTTTTTTGAAAAGGTCGGATTCGGCTTCTCCTCCTCCTCCTCCTCGTCTCCTCTAAGCCCCGCCCCTATTCCAGCTGCTGCTCCCCTTCCCTTTCCCTTCTCCTCCCGCCATTTTCTATTATCCCGACCCGGTCAACCCTCCTTTTTCCGAATCAATTATTTATGATAGAAACATAGCCAGAGACACACCTCCACAATACACCAACTGACACTTTCACACAGACAGAGATCGTCTACCGTATTCCCTCGTACTCGCTCTGTTTGGAGATGATATTGTGGGATATTCTTACAGCCGGTCCCGAGGCCACATCAATGTTTGAACAGACACTCCTTTATGGACAACAAGGAGCACAAGAAGCCATTCAATTCGAGCATGACCCCGAGATTCATCTGCAGCTGGGAACGGTAGTGTAAGGAGTAGTGGAGGGTAGTCGATTCTCTAGAATGGCGCCCAGAAAGTGGATTTTAAGGTAAAAGGGAGGGAAGTTATAGGTGGATTAAAGCTACAATCATATTTTTAAGATTTTTATGGCTAAACTGGCAGCCAGTAACACGATTTATACGAGTATTTTACCGAATAAGGCAACAGTAACTCGTTATTTGAGCCTTTTAATGGCTAAACTGGGAGCCAGAGAGTCGCTTTTTACGAATATTTCAGGCATTAAAGCCGTTTTGTCAAGCCGTTTAATGGCTAAACTGCCGTCCATATTTTCGCAATTTCAGTCGGGCTGGTCGGAGTCGATGCCGGAAGACGATCTACAGTATGAAAAGATGACGCGCGCATGGCCAAGGCATTGTTTGGGGCAAATACCAAGTGCTGAGGTAGCCATTTCATACTTTAACTACGCTGGAAACTCGTGCATAATTTAAATTGCCTTCCAGTTAGTCGAAAAATGCATAAAACTAATTTTTTTCTGTGATAATTTTGTATATTTCAGGCTCTGTCGGCGAGTCTCTCCTCAAATACGCCTCTATCCCTCCTCCATATTGTCTATAGTTTTATATTGCTAAGCAGTCGTGTCAATTGTCTCAGCGATCATTATTCTGAGGTATCCATTTCTTTGTTAATTATCTGAATTAAGAAATTTTAGATTGATGATGTCACGAAAATTCTGGCGTTGAATCCACGCTATAATAAAAACGCCTACCCCACACAGCATATAGGTCAGTTTGTTTTGGGAAAAACGATTTTTCGGTACTTATGCAGTATCGGGGGAGGGGGCAGCTCAAATTTTTGGGTTTTTTGCCAAAATTGACCATTTTTGAATTGTAAAATCGACATTTTGTAAGTTTTAAGACGTAAGACATGAGGCTACTTTGCTCCCAATTTCAGGAAAAAAAAACTCCATTTTTCGCGTCTTCTAATCCCGAGTCCAAACCCCCACTATTCAAAAAGCAAAAATTTGAAACCCCCGGCGGGACTCGAACCCGCAATCTTCTGATTAGAAGTCAGACGCCTTCGCCATTAGGCCACGAGGGCAGAGGGGAGAGGGGGAGGGGAAGGGGATTGTATGGCAACAGAGGGGTGGGGGAGAGACCCACCTGCCACAATACCCCAATACGCCCTCAATAACACAATAATCCGCTCGCTTTTCGCGAGTTTCCCGGTTTGTATTCAAATTAGCATTTATTTAAAGAGATGAGGACGGCATCTGTTGAACCCCCCCTTGGGGAGGGGGGGTTCAACAGGTCCCGCGGCGATCTTGCGCGAGAGAGGGCTCCCAGGGGAGAGGCGCAGAGACATTTTCTTTCCCTCGCGTAATCGATTGACTTATGCCGCCCCTATCTCTTTAAGGTTAGGAAACATTGCAATTTGGTCGTCTAGGGCTGCGGGAAAAGCCTATCTGGGGCTCTGATCAGCTAGACCGAGCCAGAAAAACCACACATCCGACGGGGTTTTCGATTAAAATTTTTGGGTTGTTTGGAAAACAACGGAAATTTGGAGCTGTTTTGCAGTAGAATCTGATTTAAATGGAGTAATCGAATCGAACATTTTTTGTTTTTCTGGCTTGATTATATATTTTTCGGGTTTTTAGGCGTCAAAAATTCGTTTTTTCCATAAAAATTGATGTTTTGAATAGTTTTTTGTGTTTTGCGGTTGTTTTGAATATTTTCTTTCTATCTGACTGTTACTTCAGCTTTTCCCACTCGATCTGGGGCTATTAAAACATCTAAGCCCATTTTTCATCGATTTTTTTATGAGATAAAGTACGTTTCTGTAATCTTTCCGAAGTTTCTTTTCTCTTTTCTTCTCGTTTCTCTTTCTTTCCGATATCTCGGCAATCTGCCAGCCAGACAAGCGTTCGGCCGTTGTTTCAAGACTAAAATGTTCGTTCTTTGTCTCTTTTTGGGGGGATTTGGACACGCAAACATTTGAAGTTCTCGGCCATCCCCGTTCACACGACCCAATCCCCCCTCATTTCAATCTACATTCCAGGCCAGAGATTTCTCTCTCTCTCTCTCTCTCTCTCTCTCTCTCTCTCTTCTCATTTAAATGTTCTCTCCCCCTGCTTATCCATGCCCTGGGGCCACAATCCGCCCCTCTCCTCCCCCCTTCCACTCCGCTTCAATCCAAAAAACAGCCATCCCTCAGTCCCTTCTGGGGGCTAAAGCAAAGTGTTTCCGATGCTCAACCCACCATAGACTGAGAAAAATCCGAAAAGGGGGCCCATTTCACAGCCCCGACCTTTCAAAACTCAAAACGTCCACAATGATACCTAATTACGGGGGTGTCAAGAGGTGTAAGGTGGAATTTTCCATAAATTGAGTAGCTTATCATAGAAACTGCGGGCCAGTATAGCGATTCCAGCAAAAAAAAAAACATTTTTCGACCCATTTCTGGCTGCTTTCGTCCCCAAAAAAGTTTCCGACACAATACCTAATTACAGGACGTAAAGTGGTGTACAAAGGAATACAGCCGGTTATAAGCCGCTGGTCATAGAAACTGCCAGCCAGTATAGCTATTCCATTGAATTCCGGATTTTTGAGCGCCGTTTTCAGTTTCTAGAGCTCCTTTTTGATCGATTCTAGCTGTCACCTCCCCTTGGAAAACACAGATAACGTAATTTTTGTGTCCATTGACATGGAGATTGGCGATTACTGATACCCGGACATGTCGATCGAACTGGAACGGAATAATATAGAGAGAAAAGAGTGAAGGGAGAGGGACCTCTGGATGTCTCTATGGGACCCTAGGGACCCTCCTCCCCCCTTCAGACAGCTCTTGCCCTCACTTTTTTATTTTTAGGATGAGCATGAGGGGAGGGGGAGTACCCGGCTATGTGCTCCCTTAAAATATGATGCAAAGGGTCAAAGTAGGAATTTAGAAAAGAATTTTTAAGAAAACCAGAAAAATTTGAGTTTTTTGAGATCCAAAGGTATCGATTTGGAGAATCCCCCAAAGAATCTCTGCTGGCTGCCCACCAATCTCTCAACTGGCAGCCAGTTAAGGAACTGGGCATGCTAGCAGAAATTTTTGAGGAATATTTTTGTGTAGTGATGCGATATTTTGAGGTAACAATGGCTTTTCGAGTGCATTGTATTGAGGGGGGAAGTATTTGTGCCTTGGGGCGGCATTTTTGCCACATTTTGGGCAGCCGTCGTGTATTCTAGAAGAGAGAGAAGAGGGCCATTCAGAAAAGAGACTAGAAGACAAGAATTCACTAGTAGAAAATTGCCCCTTCCCCCCCCCCCCCACACACCTCTGCAAAAACAGAAAAACGGGGTACTTTCGCGTTATCGGGGGGTTCTCTAATTCTATAAATGCTTAAGAAATTAATAGGAGATATTTTGATAACGTTTTTATTAAAATAATACTGGATTTAAGCTAGAAAACTATCTAAAATTTCAGAAAAGTCGACATTTTGTGCAAAAATGGTCATTTTGGTCGAAAATTAGTATTTTTTGTATTTTTGACTAAAAAAATTATGAATTTTTTACGTTTAGGAATTGTAAAAAAGAGCTTAGAAACAATTCCGCTATTTTTATTTCGAAAATCGGACCCAAAGTAAAACAGTTGAAGAAAAAGGGATGGGGTGGGGAGCTAGCAGCGGACATTTGTGGATTCAAAAGAGGGGAAGTTTTGAGAGAGAAGAGGGTAATAACTGGTGGATGACAGCTGACCCATTCCATCCGGAAAGTGTGGCCGAAATGGGCGAATGATCGATTGCAGGGCAATATTTTGGGCCGTCTAGCTGGAAGGAGGTGTGAAAATGGACTCGGGGCATGCTGGCGAAGGTTATTTGGGGAAACGGGGGTTAATTTTGAGCAAACTGACAGTCAGTTATCACTAAAATGGGCCGACTGGCAAGCTAGCAGAGAGTGTGTGGGAAAACGGCACCCCTTTCCTCTTTACTGGTTGCCAGATTGGCTAAAATAAAGGTCGGGGTAATATTGCAAGGATTTTTGGGGAATTTTTCGACGAATTTGATGTATATAGGCCTCGGTTTATCGATTTTCTGTCTAGGGCCATCGAGCAGAGGCCATTTGCCGAGGCAGAACGCACCTATAAAGCCCTTTTCTCTCTCTCCCTCCCCTTCTCCCTCTCTCTCTCTCTCTCTCTCTCTCTCTCTCTCTCTCTTCATTATGACGAGAGCCCCATTTTCTTTTCTTCTAATTTCTCAAGTACCCTCCCCCGATTTTCCATTGTTCTCCCTAAATTTCGCAGAATATACGGGAAATTATTGGGTGCAGAAAGACCACCAAAATGCTTGGGGGAAGGCGAAATATGGTCAAGCCGAAATTATAGAGCTCAAATGATCTTTGCTAGCTTGCCCCCTTCGATTTCGGGCTTTCTGGCAGCCAGATGACCGAATTTTCGGGTTGGACTAGATTCCCAAAGAATCTCTGCTAGCTAGCCCCTCTTTTCTAGGATCATTCACCCATTTCCAGTCGACAAAACCTTCTGGAATTTGGTGGGTGGGGGTGGGTGGGAGAGAGAGAGAGAGTGAGAGAGTGAGCGAGAGAAAGAGAGGCAGAGAGAAGGCACATTTCCGTTTCACTACTATGTTGCGGTGGGATCTGAGCGAGAGAATGAGGGAAAGAGAGATCTCCCTCTCTCTCCTCCACTTCTCGACTTCCCGTTCGAATTTCACGCTTCGGGCGACTTTGCAAAACCCGGGTTGGTGGGAGCCGTGTACCTCCTCCTCCTCCTCCTCCTCTAGGGGGCCATCGAATATTGAGAACGAGGGGAGGGCGGAAGGGGCAAACTAGCAGAGATCATTTGCCGAAAATGACGATTTTTCTGTTAACAAATTTTTGAGTTTACTGACTGTCAGCCCGCTTGGCAGTTAGCCAAAATTCGAATTTTCCTACTTTAAGGGCAGTATGACAGGCCTATTTTTGCTCTAACCTTTGCCATGCATTTTCGCTGTTTTTCTGATCCGTAGCCAGAAAAACGATTCTAAAATCGAGTTGCAAGACGTTGGTGGGGCTGACTGACGGACTGCCCAACCCCTAAATCCCTGCAAAATGGATCAAAAGCCACGGGGGGCATTCGATTATTGGGTTGGCCGGGTGCCAGATTGTTGATTGCAAGACGGAAAACGAGGAGGGCAGACTAGCAGAGATCACTTGGGCAGGGATGGTCCTAAATTCGAGCTGGCGAGCAGGGGTCATTATGGAATGAATTGAAATTCCGCAAGATTCTCTGCTGGTTTGCCCCGGTGGTCAATATTAGTTTTTTGGTCGTCAGCCCCCGTGTTCAACTACTTGAGATGGACGGGGGCATCATCTTCTAGATGCAAAGAGATTGGATTCTGCTCTTTCTCTCTCGCTCTCTCGCTCTCTCTTTGCCATTCCCTGAGGGTGTATTTAAGGGTAAACATAGCCCGAGAAAGAGAGAGAGAGAGAGAGAGAGAGAGAGAGAGAGAGAAGGAGAGTTTTTAATGAAAATCCCGAGGCGATCCACGCGCATCCTTGAAACCTGAAAAAGTTCGCAGATACGGGGATTATGACGGGAACCACGTGGGATTTCGATAGAATGGAGGACAGTTTAGGGAATGCGAGAGATGGAGAAAGCGAGAGAGAGCGAGAGAGAGAGCGAGCGTAAAATAGCAAGCTAACTCTTGAAAATCGCTTCTAAAACGTCCAAAATCAAGCGAATACCTCTGCTGGCTGTCTTTTTGGCGAATTTCCGGACTGCTACCTATTCCGTCACTTTCCTCTTTACACCCCAGAGGTGTTTTCTGGAACGCTAACTGATGTCCTCTCTCGGCTTCTCCTCTCCTCTCGATCTGTCAACGGCAGAGATAGACTAAAATAGTGCAAAAATGAGGGACACTAAAGCCAGAAGATTCTAATATTATTAAAATAGTTGGAAAAATCTATTTTATAGGAGCGTTGAAGTGAAAAGTGAAGTGAAAAATCCGTTTTTGCAGACCGTCCAACGGAGGTGAAAGTGCAAATGTATGTGGAGGGAATGTCATCATTTCGAGCACAATCTATGGTAAGACAATCTAGGCAAGCTGGCAGAGATCTTTGAGGATTTCTATTTGACAGTAAAACTATCAGAAGAAATTTGAGAAATTTAAAAAAATACCTGGAAATTATTTGGAAATTAGCTAAACTGACGGGCAACTTGGCAGAAACCCTTGCGGAAAATTATGTTTAGGTTAACCGGCGGCCAATAAATGGATATTTGATCAAAAATGACTGGAATTTTCAGGATTTCCAAATCGACATCTATTTGCAAGAAATGTGGATCGACGAACGATTACGACATAATAATACGAAGCGGATATTGATCAAGGATCCCAAGTTATTTGGGTACGTTTTAATAGATGTATACACTTTTGAAAGTTTATTATTTCACATAAAAAAGGGAATTTAGCACATGCAAATTTTTAAATTTCATAAAAATTAAACTTAAATAAAATTTTTTTTTAAAGGTCGTTATATTAAAAACCAGTGGAAAAAGACCGCTTCGCGGCCCTTTTCCACTGGACCCCGTCCAGGAACCATGAATTTGAATCCCTTTTTTTTAGCCTGCGGCGCTAGAACCTGAGTCAAGGAGCTATTGTTTGGCCTGCGGCGCCAGAGCCAGCGTTGCGCTAAAATCTTTGAGCCTGCGGCGCTAGTTACTGGTTTTTCTCCCGGCTTAGGCCTGCGGCGCGAGACCCTGCGTCCAGGACCCATCCGTGGCCTGCGGCGCCCGCCTGGACCAAGGCCCTTTTCTTTGGCCTGCAGCGCTAGAGCGAGAGCCAGGTCTAAACCTCCCACACTGAGAGCCACATCCGAACTAATGACCTCACGCGTGGTAGACCGAGCGCTAATCCACCACACTAAGGGGCACATGGGCAGGGGCGGCGGGAAAGGCCTGTTCTGTCCTGGGGAGCCGCGCGCAAAGATAAGGGTGACCAATAGTCCGGAGGGAGGCTTTCTGGTCACTTTACAAAATTCGATTTTTTTAGTCTGAATCTGTTGAAAATTTGCAAAGATAATAAGATGCGCATGATCCCCACCCTTGATTGCATAAACGGTCCAAATTTCAGCCCGGAATTCCATCAGGGCTTCGAGTTATGGCCTGGACACCACGGCCCGTTCCGCGATTTATTAAGGACCTTGCAGAAAAATCCTTATAAAAACTTTAACTTAAAGTTTTTTGCAAAATCCGAAAAATGTATCTGGGGAATTCCTTTTCCCATCTACCCTCCAAAAATGAGGCCCCAGTTCCCTCTAGGGGCCGAGAAAAGTTCCGGACAACGTGCGCACCCAAAAATGTTAAGGATTTTTCACATTTTTGTTTGTAAAATCGTTAAATCAAAGAATTTCGAAAAATCCAAAAAACCGTTTTTTATAAATGGCATTTCCCACCCCCATGCCAAAAATCAGCTCGAAATCCGGCCGGCCGGCCGAGAAAACGGCCGTACAGAAAACACACATACTTTTCTCGCTTATAGGATAGGATAAATCCAAAGTTATTTGAATGCATTTTTACGAATTTTGAAAGTCTTGTTTTTAAATTTGCTAAAATTTATTTAAATTAGAAAATGGCTTTTTTTGCAGCCTTATCTGGCATCCCGATCTGTATTTCGCGAATGCTCGTACAGCCTCATTCCACGAAGTGACCATGCCCAATTTCTTGGTATGGATCTATCCGAATGGGACTGTATGGTATGATGCCCGCGTATCCGGGGCCATACTATGCGCACAGAATCTTGGTAAGCCTTAAAAATACCTTTGTACTTTGTAGTTTTGCTATTTGCCGGAAAAATCTGAGATTTTTGTAGTTTATAGCCTGTACTGACTTCGAGTTTTTAATTTAACTAGTTTTGTATGTTAACTGGGCCACAAACCAAAATTTTGTGTAGTTTGTAGTCTAGACTGGCTGACAGTTCAAAAGGAGTCGGTTAAAAACGCTTGCTCTGCACGAAATCTGGAGTTTTTCTAGTTTGTAGCCTGCACTGGCTGCCAGTTCATTTATTAAACTGGTTTTTCTGTAAACTGGGCAACAAAACGCAATTTTATAAAGTTTATAGTTTAGAGATTTGTATCTTGTAGTTTTCCTCTATCCAATTACGCCATGAAATAAATGCTGTAGTCTGTAGCCTGACGGTCAGAAAATGTAATAAAGCGTGTCTATTTCAGCCAAATACCCTCTGGACCGTCAGATGTGCTATTTGCGGATATTGTCATGTCAGTTTCCGCATTTTTCGATCGATAATTCCTCTCTATTTAGATGCGTACGATAATGAGCAACTGGTGATCTCTTGGAATGGGGAAGTGCCAATTGATGTGAATAAGAAGAATCAAATGCCCGATATGAAACTGATAAAAACGGAATTTCGAATACGCAATGATACCTATGCCACTGGTACGTTCATGGCCTTTTAAAGGGTTTTTAAAGGGATTGGGACAGCTAAGCATCACGAATTAAGCGTCAAGAGGTAAGCCGGAATCCAGCCTAAAAGTTGCAATCGTTATAATTTCCGATTCTATAATTAAAAATTAAAAATTCCTTTTTTAAAAAATCCAATTTCCGATTTTTCAAAAATTCAACTTTTTAAAATTTAGATTTACGCCGTTAATGTTTAGAATTTTAGGGGTATGGTCGTGTGCATTGGCGGAATTCTACGTGGATCGAGAGATAATGCATCACATCATCCAATCCTATATCCCCACCACGCTAATTGTCATTATTTCGTGGTTCTCGTTTTGGTTGGATGTCGAAGCTGTGCCAGGTTTGTGCAATCTTTTTCCATTTTCCTCTTGAACTTTAGCTATATTTTAAGAGGAAAGGGAAATTCTAAAAACTTAAAAAAATTCAAAAAATTGTTGTTCGGGAAAATCGGGCATTTTTGGTCAAAAACTCGTGATTTTTGCATATTTTAATGAAAAACTATGAAAGCTTTTGTGATTTTTGATCAATCTGCCTGCCAATCCCTCGATTTCAGGCCGTGTCTCGCTCTCTATCACCACTCTCCTCACTCTCGCCACCCAGAGTTCAGCTGCCCGGATGGCACTTCCACAGGTATCTCTCTCTCCTACTGCCCGTCTCTCTCTCTCTCCCTCACTCTCTCTCGTTCTTTTCTAGGGCGTAGGCGGCGGCTTCGAGTCAAACGACGATGTAATTTATGCAGTTTTTCTTTCCGGTGCTCCCCAATATTCCCAGTTGGATCATCCGGCTTTAAAGGGGCTGTCAAGGTTCAAAAAGTTGGAAAACAGCCAAACTGGCTGCCATACAAGCGATTAAAGGGGCAGAGACAGCAAGAAAAGCCCCTGAAAAGCCGGTTTATCCCTCTGGGAAATGGCGTTTGGTGGATTGTTTTGACCGCTTTGGGCCCTAATTACATTGCGTAATGCATTCCCTTCTAATTCGAGCCGCTAATATCTTCTGTTTAACGCTATAAATACGGGATAAAATGAGTTGAAAAGTACCCTTTTTCAGGCGTCATACGTGAAAGCAATCGATGTATGGATGGGTGCATGTATGGCATTTGTATTCTCGGCCATGATCGAATTCACTGTCGTAAACTATTGCACGAGAAGGAAGCCACATAGAGGGGGAGCAGGAGGAAGAGGAGCTGGACAAGAAGTACGAGGATTGACACAGCAAATACATGATCTTGTGAGGGAATATCGACAGCAGAGGGAGCAACAGGATAAGGTACCCAAATTTCTGGAAAAAAATCATCGAAAAAAGTTGGAGCATTTTTCATACAATTTTTGGCAAATTGGCAGTAGGCCTAAAGACCGTCTGAACACTATTAAATATTTAAATTTAAATATTTAATATTTAATATTATTCTTTAAAGTAATTTTTAGGCTGCTTTTGAGCAAATGTTTGCCTTAAAGTACGCGTAAATACTAAATGACGGCCTATTTTCAGCCTAAATAAGCTTTTGTAAATCTTTCGAAGAAAACTGGCGCCTAGTTTGCGCGGTTTTGTAATAATCACGATCAAAAATAAACAGAATTTTTAACGCAATTTTTAGACATTTTTAAGTCAAATTTTCGCCTTAAAGTACGCGTAAATACCAAATTACGAGTCGTAATTTACGACCTATATTTTTCAGCTGCAATCCTCGGCGGTCTATGAATGTTCATCCCTGGTAAATGGGGATGGACAGACACAATCTGTGCTGAATAAAAGACAAATGAGAGGAGGAGATCCATCTACAGCCACTGACACCCCTCAACCATACTTCTTCCAAAGGAATATCATCCCCTCTACAAGGAGGAAAAAGATTGAAGAAAGGTATGGTAGAGGATACGGTAGATTACGGTAGAAAAACGAGAAGGATACGGTAGCTGGGGCACTGTTTTTAGCGCAAAAGTAGACATTTCACAAGCACTCACAGGATATGGGTGTCGATAGGAGTGTCGCGTAGTTCACTGGCTAATATTAACAAAACTAACCAAATTTTGTGTTTTAACCGCTTTAATAATATAGAAATTGTCTCAATGAATGTTGGATCGTTTGAGAATGAAAAATTTTCGGTTTAAAAAGTTTATCTAGGCTTTTTGGCCGCTGAAAAACGCCTCAAACGATGCAATCCGTGTGAAATGGCGTTTTGTAGCAAATTTTCCCTGGCTAACCTTTGAAATATCTCTGTTTCTCTGCCCTCTCTAATTCTCTCTCACTCTCTCGCCTCGTCTGATGAGAAATACCGTATTTTCGACTCTAAAACCTCGAATTAAAGCGCTGACGGCGTGGCCTATGAGCCAATGAAGAAGAGCGGAAGGCAGATACGACAGGAAAGGTAATAAAAATCGAAAAATCCTTCTATTGCTAATGCCCTACCCCTCCCCTATATTCATATTATTTTTACTCGCTAAAAATCGTTTAAAACGCTTAAAAACAATAAAAAGCCGATTTTTCGCTTGTTTTTCACTAAAACTAACCCATTTGTTGAGTAATAATAATTATAATACAATATTAAAATTAACAATTGCTTGCCGCTTTTCGCATCAGCATGATTGATTTATAAGTATTTATTACATTTAATAATTTTATTGGTTTTTTTTGAAGAAACTTTAAATTCTTAAAAATGCTAAAAATCGCTAAAAACTAACCGCTACCTAACAAAAAATAATGAAAACTGTCCCGGGAATGAGAAATGAATGCAAAAAGAATGCGGAATGCCGCCCGTTTCAGCCCTAAATTTCCAGTTATCTGAAAATGCTAGAAACTCAAAACTACAGCCCCTCGATTTCAGAATCAACCGCGTGGAGGAGAACCGTAAATATGCTCAAATGATCGACAGAAGAAGTCGCGTCTATTTCCCGCTGGCATTTATTATATTTAATGCAATCTATTGGCTATATTATCTGATGCTGGCCCCCGATCATATTGATGATTTGGAAGAGTAATCTTGCTATTAATGCTTCAATACAAAACAAGTATGCTTCTCTTTCCCCTCTTTATTGCTTTGTAGAAGTGTTAGAAAGCGCTAAAATATTTATCTGAAAATTTCCGGATTTTTGGGCGAGAAAACTTCGAACTTCCGGCCTAAAAATGCGGCAATTTTCACTAGAAACCGCTTGCAACTTTCCCAATCTTGCTGTAAAGCTAGAAATCTATTTATTAAATAGAGTTGTCGAGCATAAATGGCTTAAAACAAACAAATTTTAGGAGTTTAGTAGGTTACAAAATGCTTGAAAACCCCTTCAAAAACCCAAATTTAGATCTCGAAATCGACAACTACGGGCCAGACATCAATGATTCTCTCTTCAATGTTACTATGATGATGCTATACATTGCTCCTTTTTACAGCTATTCTACATATTTTCATGATATCTTTGTACATACCATATGACTATCGTAAAATGCTTTCAACTGCCGATACCACAATTTTTAAACCTAAAAAAATTCAAGTTTTCCCGAAAATCAGGTCCCAACAATTACGGTATTCCCCTGAATAAATTCTATGCAAAATTTACGATAGAATCTTTATTCAAATCAACTCAGAAACACAGTAACAAACAGCAAATATAAAAAATCAACAAAAACAAACAAGAAAAAAATGGTGAATTTCTACGGGTTTTGTTCGTTGGCATAGGCGGCAGCGATCCCGGATCTGCCCTCGCTGATTGATGTCTGAAATTGGAGAAGTTAGAAGTACAGACTACATAGAATAAACTACAAGCTACAATTCGCGATAGACTACAGAGAATAAGCTACAAACTACAGACTACAATTCCTTACAGAGTACATAACCTAAAATTTTTTAACGATTTCAGATCAATAAACGAAAAACTACAGACTACAATTTCTTACAGACTTTCGAGTACAAATTACAGGCTATAGACTACAATCTCATATAGCTAATAAACTACAAACTACAATCCAAGATTTCCAACCTCTCCCTGCTCCTCCAATCGAACGCTATTATCCAGCCCGTGCCACGTTCGCTCCTTGAAATAGTCGCCTAAAAATTGTAATTTTCAGGCCAAAAGCTTTCGAATTACCAGCGGTATAGAGTGTAATCTGTTGTTGTGCGTCCTTTCCTTCTTCTTCCCTCCTTCCATTAATGCGTACTCGGCCCGTCACCAGACTCACGTCAACCCCATCATCTTCTCCCGTCTTATTCTGGCCGATCGATTCTAAAAAAAAGATTTGTATACAGCTTTTAAGTATAAAAGCTTGGGTTAAATTAAATTTTCTAGAAATACTTCAATTTTGGCTTAAAAACGCAAATTTTGAAAGCATAAAAAAGTCTACTATAACATCATTTTTAGACGAACTCCGAACCACAAACCTCCCAAGAAATCGCAAAATTCGGCGCTCCACCCAGAGTCGGCGGCCCATGATCGGTCGGGGTTGAGCGCCATTTCCGCCTGGAAAAACGAGGTAATAAAAACATAGAAGATCTAGAAATACCTCAAAAACGGACAGGACAGGGCGGAAATAGTCGGAAGTGTCGATCAATACACCGAATGGACACGAGATCACGATGAACACGTCAATGTCCGAGAAGTTCGACAGTTTCGCCACGTTTATCTGGAAAAAGATATAGTTTTAGATTTATCAAAATTATTAAAATTTCATTTTAGGTGCTTTTTCACAGATGTCTTTTTTTCTTTTCTCCAGTTTCCTGGAAAACGGCAAATAAACAATTTTTAGTCGCGATTTCAGCGAAATAGCCCCTTTTTGAGTCTGCATCTCTCTCTCCACGATACTCCAAATGACACCATTCTCAAGCCCCTAAAAATAGCCGCTGATTTCTGAGTCACCAAGGGGGAGGGGAGGTGTGGCTCAGAAAACCGGATATCTTACGCGGGATTGTTTGGGAAACAGTCGAGGCGAGAGAGAGAGAGTTAGTGAGAGAGAGAGAGAGAGAGATACAATCATTTGATACGTAGTGTTGTGTGTATTGAAAAGATCGGCCAATCGCTGGACAACACAACCACTCGCAAATACCCAATCAATTCTACCAGTTACTTCCCATCCCTTTCGAATCCGGTCATAATCCCCTCAAAAATGCGCTCAATTCTACTGATTGTATTTGGCTTTGTTTGTGTTAGTGATGCGTTATTGGGATTTGGATTTGAGCAGGTTAGTTAAAAAAACTAATAGTTAAAAGTTATCGATCAAAAATCCGCTTAAACGTGGTTTTAAAGGCCCCAGCAATGCAAATCTTTAGAATTTACCCTTCTTTTTCTAGGTGATTTTCCCGCGCCCGCGGCACTCAACGCATCCGCACGCGCTTAATTCCATTGCGTAATCAATTACTACGGTTTTACGACGGAAAAACTCGTACGTAGCATGCGTGTCGCGGCAAACCGCATCCATAGTGTAGCGGATTACGCTTCAAAATAAAAAAACCCTGTAAAATCCATATTAACTTAATAAAGCCATTAAATCTATAGAAAATCCATAGCCAAAAATCCAGGATTATGACTTTCCAACCCCTTTAAAACCCCCGTTTCTAGACAGCAGCGATCAAAGGACGGCTAATGTGTAACGGACGACCAGCGAGAGACGTTGTCGTCAAAATGTATGACAAAGATCTCTGTAAGATACCTTAAAAATACCCCTACTACCCCATGATTACAGTATTCGACTCGAAAATGGGCGAAACAAAGACGGATTCGGATGGATATTTCAGTATGGTGGGCAAGGGGAGGGAGATCAGGTAACCAATTACGAGATGAAATCCACTAGCCATTACAGTACCGTCGATGCCAAGGTCAATTTCTATCACAACTGCGAGAACAGTATGATAAGGTCGGTTTTTGAGGTTAAAACAATGTATATATTGAAGGAAAACAAGACTCAAAAATTAACCCATATTTGAAGTGAAATCGATAAATCTATATTAAAAATAATAAATAAAATTAATTAATTCATTTCAAAATAAATAAATAAATCTTACGTAAATAAAGTCGATAAATTTTAGTGCCCCCGGAAATTCTCGATCTACCTGCCCACAAAATACATTTCTCATAGCAGCAACCCCGAGCTTGTCTACGACTTTCATCAGGTAATCGATTAGGAGCACGGTATTTTCTACTTTAAAGGGCTGCCGACGGCATGTGTCGATCCCCCCCATCAACAAATTGGCAAGTAGCCAACAGGGCAGAGAGGGCGCCCAGGGGAGAGGCGCAGAGGCATTTTCTTTCCAGCGCGTAACCGATTGACTATGCCATCGGCATCCCTTTAATCCACATTAAAAACCTTAAAAAAATGCGTTTTTTTTTAGATGGAACTGGCGGGCCGATTCCCGGACGAATCGCACGATTGCCTACATCGATAAAATACCCAATTTTAATTTTCGCGAATTTTTCTTAATAAACAGTATCAATTAATTTTGATAAATCAAAAATGTACCTTTCCAACGGAGATGACATATGGTGTCTTTCTCTGTTGTCTGCATAACTGTCGTAGTCGCGTGACGGCTTCTCGATGTCCTTTCACTCCGGTTGTCCCCACCACGATTCCTACCTGAAAAAGAAAAATTATTTCATTTAAAATCTTATTGTAATTTTAAGGATTTCAGAATTTTTCGCCTAATTTCTATTTAATTCTACAAAACTGTATAGTTGGAAAAATCGATTTTTTTTTCAATTAATTTAGCTATTTTTAGACGTGCAAAATGTTTCGAAATTCAAGTTCGACATCGGTCATTTTTCCAGTATTTTAACGATTATTGTAGCTATTTTTAACGCTGGAATTTCCTTTGCTGGAACGACGAACTGCTGGAATTTCCTTTGCTATTTAAACTAATTTTATTTAGTCATGTTTTCGCTGTTTTATCTATTTTCAAAAGCCCCGTACCGTTCTGGCGTCTCTGAGTTTTTCGATGAGAAATAGACGACGACGCAGCTGGCGCCAAGCTGTCGAACTGAAAAGACGGGGTATTAGAGGATACGGTAGGGGAAAGGAGGCTCAAGCAGGAGAACCCCAAGGGCACATGACACGCGTTGACACCTTAGGGAAACAAGAGAAGCAGGAAAAGAAAAAGAATTGGTGGAAAAGAAAAAGGTCATTAGGGGTCATTTTGGACGGATCCGCGGGCAAAGCGTAGTAGTAGATCGCAGAAAAATTCTGCCAGCAAGCTCTTCGAAAATATGAAAATTCGCTAAAAAGTCCCTAAAAATAGCAAAAAAAATCAGAATTCCTGGCCAATGCAACTCCAGAAACACGTAGAAATTCGTTTAAAAGTCTTAAAAACAGTAATAAGAAAATACAATACGCTAAAAAGTGTCAGAAACTAGGAACAACTTCGGATCCAGTGGCGCCCAGGCCTACTAACAAAAATTACTTATTTCAAAGTTTCCAAACATCCAAAAAAACTCAATTTTCGGTATATATAGTTTTTACTCATCCCTGATTTTTCCAAACTTCCACCCAGCCTGTGGCTTGACTAATCCGTGCAATCTCAAAAATTTCCCTGGATTTTCGCCTCATCTCCGCCCGTCCAAACAATGCAAATCCATCACAAAACGTGACCGTTTCCTGGAAAACCCTGGAATGGGACTGTATTGGATAGTCCCAAACGGGATCTGAAAAAAGGAAAAAAAAGAAAAGAATCGGTAGCTAGAAAAAGCGAGAAAATAAGAGAAAAATGCAGATAAGGATCTCCTCGAATTCCGGCAACCTTTTGCCCCCCATTCTTCTCTAAATATGCACTCGGAAAGAAAGGGTATTGGAATGTTGCCATAGATAGGAAATGGACAATGGGAATTCCGCTCTGTCTCTGTCTCTCTGTCTCTCTCTCTCTCTCTCTCTCTTTTCTTCTGGATCGGGGTGTGGGTTGTTTTCTTTTCATTAGACGCCTATCCACCCTCGCTCAACTGTCGCTTTCTTCGAGTGAGCACCAGCCTCCTGCTCCTCCTCCCCTAAACTGCAGTTTTTCACCCTCTAGAAAAGAGAGAGGAAAGAGACAGAGCTATCGAAATCGGAGCGAACTTTAGGGTCACACTTCCCCCCTAAAAGAGAGAGAGAAGATGTGTAGATTGGCTGTATATAAAAGGGGCTCAATGGAAGGGAATTGTCACTGTGTGTCCCTTACTACAAGAGAGACAGACAGACAGACACCATGGCCCGTCTACTCGTGACTTTTGGTGCGACGGCAAGTGGAATTGCCATCTGTGGCGCGTTGATCTCTGTTGGATATCTCTTCAATGATATCAACAACTTCTACTCCGAGTCCCTCGAGGAGTTGGGCGAGTTCAAGGTACGCTTCATAAGGCTTTGCCATAACTAGCAAAATTCTCTAACTTTCTGTGGTTGATTTCTAGATTTTCTAACGTATTCTACGGTTTAAATCTAGCTATTTTCCATTAAAATCGAATTTTGTGGAATTTATAAGGAGAAACAGATGATTTGTAGAATTTTTTAGCCTGAAAACCTGGCAATTCAAAAATTAGCTATTTTCTGCGGCTTAATTAGTTACATTTTGATCAAAACCACATTTTTGAAGGTCAAAAAATTGCTTAAAAAAAGCAATTATCTGTATTTTTAAGTTTTTAATTTTCCTAATTTTTCTAGAGCTTAATGTATCAATTTTCTTACTATAAACCCAATTTTCACAGTTTAAAATGAAGGAAAAGTAGAATTTCTTAGCAGTCGGAAGTCGTAGAAAATGCCCTAATAAATTCAAAATGAAATAATTTCCACAAAAATAGAGCTAAAAAATTCTACATTAGCTAGAAAGCCTAGAAAATCTAAAATTCTAGGCATACGCCAATGACGCGTGGTCCCAAATGGTGCTGACCACGGTCTCCTCCGGTTCCTCTCAATCTGGCCGTAACACCGTCTTTGGCCGTCACAAACGTTCGGGCTCGTCTTGCAACTGTGGAGAACAAGCTAGCAACTGCCCAGCTGGACCTCCTGGACCCCCTGGAGCACGAGGAGAAGATGGAACTGATGGAAATCCCGGACAACCCGGAAACCCTGGACAGGCTGGAATTAAGACTGCTTCTGATAGCTATGATGTGAAATCATGCATTGTATGCCCGGCTGGACCTCCTGGACCACAGGGACCTGATGGAGATGAGGGACCGGCTGGACAGCCTGGAAATGATGGACAACCAGGAGAGAAGGGACAGGATGGACAGCCTGGATTGCCTGGACAGCCCGGAGATGCTGGACGCGATGGACAGAATGGACATCCTGGAGCCCCTGGAGGACCTGGACGCAACGGTAAGCGCTTTTTAGCTTTGAAAATATGCAAAAAATAACGGAAATTCTCTAAAAAGATTTTTTTGAAAAATTTAAAATTATCAAGGAACTCCTTTATTAATTTTTGGCCACTGGAACGCTGAAGATATTAAAAATTACATTTTTTAAAATGTTACAATTTTTGACGCGCTTTTTCTATCTAAAAAAGCGTAACTAGTTATTTTAATAAAACGCAACTATTTTTGTGACATCCTTAGTAGCCTGGATTATCATTAAAATTTTATTCAAAATTTTAGGAACCAAGGGACGTGGCAAGCCCGGACCCAAGGGAGCCCCTGGACCTCGTGGACCTGCCGGACAACCCGGACAGAACGGACAGCCCGGACAGCCCGGAAATGACGGACCACAGGGACCCGATGGACAGCCTGGAAATGATGGACAGCCCGGACAGGATGGACAGGTAATAATAGAATTACTAAACTCAAAAAATCGCGCCAAAAATGGAAATTAATTTCCGACCTAAAATTTGTATATTTTCTAGGCCGGAGTCGACGGAACTGAGGGAGCCCCCGGCCCCGATGCCGCCTACTGCCCATGCCCTCCTCGATCTTCGGCAATTGCCGGCAACCAGGCCACTGGAGGATATCGTCGTCGTCGTGCCTAAGCAATTGGCGAAACGAGATCATAAACATCTACTCAACCAATCAGAATTTTTAAGGGCAAACACCGGGAGAGGGTACATACAGGCCGATGGGGCACAATTTAAGTTTTGCTAGGAATGCAATACAAATCCTAGCTTTTTTGAGATGTCTAAAAGTCGCTAAAATCTAACTGGCAGGGCTGGCAGCGATTCCTAGTGAAAGATAAGACTTTCAAAAAAACTCCCAACATTTTTTGAAGCACGGAAAAAGCCGTCCAAAATGGGATGGGCAGGCCGGCAGCGACTCCTTGAGAAAGCTAAAACAGCCTAAAATTTCCAAAATCTAGAAATCTAGAAAATCTAGAAATCAAAACAAAATCCATAAAACCAGATCAATTGGCGCGGCAGGCTAGCAAAGTCTCCTAGAGAAATCCGGTCTAAATTCCATTTCCTTGTAAAAATTCTTTATTTTCACAATTTCCCAACCCCCCAGTGGGAAATTTCCAGACCATCCCCCGGATCTGAATCCCCGCTCTTTTTCGGGTAGGATTAGAATCTGCGCCGTGCCAATTCCGATCTGCCCCATTCCTCGAAATACACACCCACTCAAAAGACATAGCCACACACCCAACGCAGTTCAGTTTTATCGAAATTCCGGGCCGAATGGAGGGGAATGGAAGGGCAGGGGAATGCCAAAGAGATTCAAGGTCTCTGCCCCTGTGGCAATCCTGTCCCGTATCAAAATACCGGGCAGAAACTTGCCACCTAGCGGGGGAGAAGGGAGGGAGAGTGGGGTAGAATAAGAGACTCCAGAGATACAGTGTGGATTGGCACTGTTCGCCCGTCCTCGAGATGGCAGCCCCTGATTTGTATAAAAGGTCGCCTCACCGCGATGCCAATTCAAGGCTCCGTTTCATTTCGGTTGGCTTCTACTACGAGCGCGCGTCAAAAACGATGAGTGTCAAGGTGGGCATTTTTTAACGATCAGAACTACGCGATTTTGTAAGCCAAAAAAAACCAATTTTGTGCTAAAAAATGGATAAAAATCCGTCTAGAGTTTTTTTTGCCCATAAAAGCTATGAAATTTTGCAAGCTCAAAATATATAGACTTTAAAGCAGCTTTTATACGTTAAAAATAGATAAAACTTGCATCTAGAGCCCAGAAAATAGCCGAAAACGTTTCAAACATGACAAAGCAAGCTTTTTCTTTCACTTTTAAGCCTGTAAATGCTCAAAATAACGTCTAGAAACTATAAAACAAGCCAAAACGCTTAAAATGTTTCGAAACAAGCGTCTTGATTAGTTTTTAAAAAACTCCTAATCAACTATAATAAAAAAGTAGAGGCGTCCGTCTGTCTGTCTGTCTGTCCGTCGTGTCCCGGATTCAACTCGAAGGGGAAAGGAGCTAGAGCTTAGCTCTCTTCGGATTCGGATAGAGCGTGGTCAGAAACCCCCAAACTGATAAAAAAATTACCAAAAAGTTTTAGTTTAAATTACTAAAATTAACTTTGAAAGTTATTTCCTTAGTAAAAGGGGTGGGGGACGGAGGTTGGGGTGATTTTGGAGATAGTGAGCCAGGTCGCGCGCGTTTCGGCGATGAGGAGGGAGCGCAAGGGGGTAGCCCGAAGTCCAGCCGCTTGCAGCGGCGAAGCCGCTGTAAGCGGCTGGTACTGTATATAAACTAAAAAAATCGTCAAAAACGTGTAAAATTTCTGAAGAACCGGCTTCTTGCTGCACATTTTAACTTCTCAAGGCGATAAATTTTTCTAAAATTTTGAAAATAGCCCTAAAAATCCCGAGAAATTCTCAAAGAAGCTCCCCCATTCAGGTGTTGGCGACACTGGCCTCGGTGGGCAGTGCTGTAGTGTTAGTGAGTGCTGTGGTCAGCCTCGGCTATCTCTACAATGATATCAATTCATTCTACTATGAGGCCGTCTCAGATATGTCCGAATTCCAGCTATACGCCAATGACGCCTGGTCAAATATGGTCAGTTTAAAACGTATAAAAACATCGAAAAATTGCAAATAGCTAAAAATCTATCAAAATAGCAATTTCCAGATGAACTGGGCACTTCTAAAAAAGATCCAAAGCTGAAAAGTAGCTAGAAACTAATCACATAAAATTCAGCCCTTTAAACAAATTTTAGATCACGAGCATGGGCCAGGCGAGCAGCAGCCAATCGCAACTCAACACAATCTTTGGCCGCCACAAACGATCCGCCGATAAGTGCCAATGTGGACCCCAGGCGAAGAGCTGTCCAGCTGGCCCACCCGGACCCCCTGGACAACCCGGACAACCAGGAGATGATGGAGAGAAGGGAAAACCCGGAAATACTGGCATCAAAGGATCTGCTATTACTCAAGAGGATACACCCACTGGATGTATCAAATGTCCACAAGGACCACCTGGACCAAAGGGACCCGATGGAGCTGTGGGAGAAGCTGGACCCGAAGGAAAGAAGGGAGAAGATGGAAAGGGAGGAAAGAAGGGAGAGGATGGACCTGATGGAGAGGCTGGAGATGCTGGAAAGAATGGAGAGAAGGGCAAGGATGGAGAGCCTGGAAAGGCTGGAGAAAACGGTACGTTTTTAAGCAAAAAAAACTGTCTAAAATACTTTTAAAACTTAGAAATAATCGTCTAAAACCAGGTACAAAACCCACAATTTCTAGGCACGAAAGGAAAGGGCGCCCCAGGACCCCTCGGACCAATGGGACCCATCGGACCACAAGGAAATCAAGGAGCCGTCGGAACCCCTGGACAGCCTGGAAAGGACGGACAGCCCGGTGCTGCTGGACAAGCCGGAAAGGACGGAGATAAGGGAAAAGATGGAGAAGCTGGAGTACAGGGAATACTCGGAGCCCCGGGAACAGATGCCGCATACTGCCCATGCCCCGCTAGATCGAATGCTATTATTGCACAGGCAAAGGCTGATGGAGGAGTTGAGGGAGCTGCTGCTGCTGCTGCTGCTCCGGCTGACACTTACACCTACTATAGAAAATAGACGAGAACTAATAAAGTGGTTGTATCTCTAGAGAATGAAGCGGAAATACAGATGAAAGAAATAGCAACCAAAAAAAAGGAACAATCGAGCAAGAAAAAGTGCATTTTTTTAATTTATACCTCTCAATCGAAATCTTCTGATTTGTTGGATTGTAGTGGATGACTTGAGCACAATAGGGGAAGGTGAGAAGAAACATCTGTAGAAGCGGACTCGACTCATCGCCAATAAACAGCACGCAAGAGCTGTCCGTGGAATCCGAGAATGACCGCGGGATCAAGCGGCCCAAGCAGAGTTTCTAAACATATTTAAGGATCTATTTTCTAATTTATACCTCGTTATCGCGAATTTCCCCATTATCCAGCCGCGCCACGAGAAGCTGTGGGTTTTGTTGGGAGAGCTCTTCTAAAAAATAAGCTTTAAAAAATTTATTTGTCCTATTTACCGATAGAATACGCATACGCGGCATCGGTCAGTAAAATGACGGAAGCCTCTATGTGGGCGCTATTTTCTCGAAATCCCTTCGTCACTTCATCAACGTTTAGAGGAAGACGGCCCAGTACATATCTGAAAAAACCCTAAAAAAATTCCAAAAATCTTACCTAACGGGAACGGCCCCGGTGGCTGTACTCAAACAACTATCCCCATAATGGACAATTGAATCACAGGGAACATGCGCAGCCGCTACCTCATCCACACAACAACTAAATTTGGCTTTAGAAAAGAATAATCCGTGATTATATACCTTTTATAAGAAGTATCCGCCAAAACATAGGCCCTGGCTTTCGTCTCTTTCTCTATTCGTTCAGCGATGAAGCGGGAATATCGGATGAAACGATCCGGGAATTGCAGGCCAACTTTTGCGAAGTCATTCTCGGTTATCCACGAGATTGTTGCTGGGAGATCGAAGAAATTGGGCACCGATTCTAGGTCCTAAAAAGAAAAGGTAGTTATAACGGTACTAGACTGTTAGCGGGGGGAGGCTAATGCTGTTTTTGATTGCTAAAAAGTTATGATACACTTTTAAAATTTTGAAAATTCGAGATTTTTGACCTTTCTGGGGCCATTTTTCATGTTTTTGACCAATTCAAAAATTCTTGCCGTTTTTATGCGCTTTTAACATCCAAAAACTGTGTTAAATGCTATAAAAATGATTCAGATTTCGTTATAGGGTCGTCCGGATGATTGGGAATAATGCGTTGCCCTCCCCTGCTAACAGTCCAGTACCGTTACAACAGCCAAACGCACCAAAACAAGACTAGTAGACCCTTCGTCTGTCGGTTCGGGAGCAAGAGTTGTTGTGAGATGATCATCTGAGAATAGCCGTGGCCCTGCTGGTTCCATTCCACTAAAAACCCAAATGTTTATCTCATAAAAATCGAGAACAAGCGAATGGAAAACAATAAAATCAACTAAAACGCTAATATCTATCAAAAAATGGCACATGCACAATTACAATTACAATCCAAACATTTTCTTCTTCGTAAAAAGTAATCGGAGATCTTGTTGAGCGACGGCTTCCTCAACCTGCTCGAATTTGGCGACATTCTCAATCTGGCCGTATGATGCGAGAGAGGGCTTAGAAGCCAACATCCTCCTCGAAACACGAATCAAATCCTCGGCCGTCACTTTGTCAATCATGGCCATCGTTTCCTGAGGTTTCCTCCTCTTTCCCTGAGCCATCACTTGTCGAGCCATATCCTCAAAGATCACCGGACGAATCTCGAGATTCATCATGATCTGAGATTTGAGCTGCACCTTCGCACGGTCCAGCTCCTCGGCGTCGAATCCCTTCGGGAGGTGGAGGAATTGATCGAGGATCACGGTCAATGCATCATTGATACGTTCTGGAGGGGCACTGCCTTGGATACAGAAGAGACCAGTGTCCGCGTAGGAGTGGTTGAAGGCTGTGCATCTGAAAAAAGAGGAAAGTTTAGAGTTAATTTCAAGATGAAAATAGGTTTTAAGTATTTCCGGTGGATCCAAATAACGCTTATAACCCAAAAAAAACAGTTGAAAACTCTAGAAACCCACTAAAACTTTGAAACTTTGATGGAAAATCGACAATTTTTAGTCGAATTTGTACTTTCGTATTTTTAAATTCAGAAATCTCGAAAAATTTATATTTTCGGCTTTTTAAGAGCTTTTTACTATTTTTTAGCATTTAGAAAAGCGTAAAAACTTTCTGGTTTTATTTGGAGCTCAAGGAAAATTTGGATACCTCCGGAAATATTAAAAAGGAATAAAACATACCTATACAGCCAATGGCATCTATTGAGCACGCCATCATACAGCCTCGTAAACATTCCCTTTCCCGGGCCACCAGCCGAGAAAGATCCTCCTCCACCAAGCAATGCTTGCATCACACAGAACGCGATGAAATCCTCATCATGATATCCACAGCCCTCGAATCCCACGGCAACATGTGCCAGATGAGGGAATGGAGTGCCGATTCCCACTTCAGACAGATCAACAACTTGTCTCCAATCTCCTCCTGTATATTGAGAAGTACTCAATTCCATCTTCGGACTCTTGCTCACATCCACACTTCGATCGATATTCCAGATGGCCGATCTCTCATCCAAATGTCGAAGTGCCAGAGCATTCAATTCATCATGTGCCATTCCAACTCCAGCCAATACCATCCGTTTTGGCGTATAATATCGACACATGTATTCGTAGAGTTTATCCCGCGAGAAATCTTCGACATTCTCGATTTCTGACGGGTCGACGTGACGCCGGAAGCCGAGAGTATTCGATCGAAAAGCCGCTTGGTGGATACGATCTGTCAAAAAGGGCTCGATTTCGATCTGCTTGCCCAGCTCGCTGCTCTCGAAGTTGCAGTTTGCAATGGCTTCCGCGATCTCGTCCTCATCGAAACGGGGCCGGAGGATTGTGCTCGAGATGATTTCCATCATTTCTTGCAGTTTCTCACGATGGCAAGAGGTTGCGTAGATGATTGTATCGCGGGTGGCTTGACAGTCGATTAGGGCACCGCTTTTCTCGATTGCCGAGAGGATGTCTTCCCTGAAAAAGAAGAGATTATTCTAGTTTTTCAGGATTTTCAAGACTTTTTACATTCTGGGTGTCTCACAAAAGGGCAACCCCTGTAGCGGCGCGGAGGAAACTCGGAACAGTACGATTTTTATAACATTCGAAAGCTCTTCAAAAGGCGCGAAAAACAGCGTCTTAAAGACTACCAGAACGATGGAACGCGCACTGTCACCCCGAGGGTGCTGCCCCCAAGAACGCGCAGAGAGATGCGTCATTAGTGGTGCCCCGTACTGGGCAAAGGCCCTCTGGGGTTTGGGGCGTCTCTGACTCCCTTCCCCACTTGGCCCTGTGGTGTAGTGGCTAGCGCGTCGGACTGTGGAGCGAGCCATCGCGGGTTCGACTCCCGCCCGGTGCGCAACTTTCTTGCTCTCAACGGAATTTCATCGTTCTGACGGTCTTTAATTTTCATAAATTGGTAAGTCTTTTCCAAAAAATAACGTTTTCGAAAAAACGCGTTTTTGTTACGAAAAAGTAGCAATTAACCTGTCGTAGTAAAATGCGTTTTTTTCACGGTTTTCGGCTAAAAAACCTGAGGTAAACTATGCAATTCCTAAAGCTAAAAGTGCTAGATTTCTCGCCTTCTCAAGAACTTCCGATTGATACCTAAATCATCAAAATCGGCGCTTTCTCCGGCGCGTTAGACGGGTATCTCTTTTCGGGTCAATTTTCATATACAAAAAACACACCTGGCATGCTTGAGCGTGGAAGCAAAGGCTAGCTTCTCGATGACATGTGTTGTGCCCTTTGGATAGAGTGCTTCATGACGACATCCACTCTCAATCGCCACTCCAAATGTGCAGTATTCGCCGAAATAATCCTCGCTGGCCACCCGTAGACCATTGTCGAGTTTGGAGACCTTCGTGTCGAACGGCTTGTAGTCGGCGGTAGATGACGAAGTGGTAGATACTCTCGAATGGCTGGCTGTTGGCGGGGAGATGGCCTCTTTCAATGACGTTGTCCGGGGGTCTTTGAAAGTGCTCAGGCGGCGGAGGAGACGCACGTTCGTCCTCTTCAGCATTACTCCTAAATTTAGTGATTAGTTTTCGCTTCAAAAATACCGAAATTCGCAAAAATGGAAAATATTAGACAGGAATTATGAAATAAACTATCTCGTGTTTCGTCATAATATTTCCCTAGCCAAATTCGAAAGATTGACAAGCGCGCCAGCGGCCATTTTTAGTAATTAAAAAGATAGATAACTACTTGTTTTCATTATAATAATAAATATTACAGCAAAAACTAAAAAAATTTATTTTTCTGTTTCCATATCTGTACAATAAACGGTTTTCCCTTCCGCACAATTTTTCGCGTCTATTGTAGTGTTATGGAGGGCCGTCCCCGGGAAGGCGCCATTTCATTTTCTCGAATTTTCAGCAATTTTTGCACATCAATTTCCTAGGCCATTTTTCGTTTTCTTGATTCCATCTTGTTTTTCTCTACGTACTTTGATTGTTTCCCATTCTCCTTTCTTCCCCAGCTTCATCCCCCAGCGCCGCCCCTCTAAAACCCCCATGCTCAACCTGGCCGACGAGGATGCGGAGCGGCGTTTCGTCGAGATGAGCAAGGACGACATTGTCCAATTCTACGCCTACTATCTACAACAGCCGGTGGAGCCTGCCGATTGCGTCGATGAGAACGATCCGAATGCTTGGTACGTTTTCTGTTTATTGTTTCCATAGCAACGTTCCGCTTATAGCCTCGATCTCGACTCGTTTGAACGTTCGATGGCCGCACGATATCCCGGGTTGGTACGGCAGCTGGCGGAACTCGACAAGAAGGAATTCCCAAGCAACAAAGACTTAGAACGCACCCAGAAGCAACGCCGTATCGAGCAACGGTTGCTGCGGAAAGAACGGTTCGTTCTTGGCCTTTGAATGGAATTAACTTTCATTTTAGGGCAAAGCAAACACCACCGCCGGTGAATCCATGCGAACGGCAGTTCTTCCCCCTGCCGAAGCTTACGGGATTGGCGGCTATACCCCGGATTGACGATGACCTGGAGCACGAAAGGAATGCTGCCGCAGAAGTTCCGGTGCTTGGGCCCGAGCAGCGAGCTCTCTGCGAGCAAAAGCCACAATTGCAGTACCTACAACAGGTATCAATCTTTCTCTGTATCTCAATATCTTTTAGATACATACGAAGCAAACGGGCCAATCTGCCTGCGGGTGTAGTGGTGCCTGTCCCTACAAATAACTGGCCCAATACCCCTCCTCTCCAATTTCCAGCTACGCCCTTTTTATCAGTGCTCACCTTGTCATATGCGATTCGTTTATGTTCCTCCCCTCCTCACTTCGATCTCGCCGTTTTTACGTTGTATTTATTTTCAAACGTTCTACTTTGTTTTTGTTCTCTGTATATATTTGTTGTTGCAGAAGATGGCCGTGCCGAAGACGAAGCCCGTTGTCAAGGAGCCCGAAGAGAAGGTCGAGTCCAGTGATGAGGACCCGCTTCTCGGTGATGAAGAGGGCGAGCTCAACGAGAACCAGAAGAACCTGGCCAACGCTCTTGGTGGTGACCACGCCGAACGCCTCGCCAAGCAGAGCCGCTCTGAGAAGAAGGCTCGCAAGATGTTCGCCAAGCTGGGCCTCAAGCCGATCACCGGTGTCTCGCGCGTCTGCATCCGCAAGTCAAAGAACATCCTGTTCGTTATCAACAAGCCGGACGTCTACAAGAGCCCCACATCTGATACGTACATTGTCTTTGGAGAAGCAAAGATCGAGGATCTATCGGCTCAGGCGCAGATGAATGCCCTTGATAGAATCAAGCCCAGCGAGGACTTTGAGACGGCAAAGCCTCCAGCCCCGATCCCGGAGGATGAGGATGATGAAGGCGAAGAGGATCCCGGCAACATCGACAACAAGGACATCGAGCTCGTCATGTCCCAAGCCACCGTTTCCCGCAACAAAGCCATCCGAGCCCTCAAGAAATCCGACAATGACATTGTGAACGCTATAATGAGCCTTACTGTGTGATTAATTTGTTCGCCTGTTGTTCATGTCTTCTTTCCAGTCTTTCCTCGGTGCTTTGTTAATTTGTTGAAAGATAAATTTTCAGGAAAATGGGTGACCGCGAGCGTTACGACCCGGTGCTGATCTCGATGTTGACGAGCATCGAGGGTGGCCCCATGCAGTTCTTCGACGTGTTATTCGACTTCTTTGCCAGGTAAACACTTTCGTCTTTGCTTTTACTTTTTTAGGAAGACTGACTTCTACAATGCGGACAAGCTGAACGAGATTCGAACAATGGTCATCGGATCATTTGACAAGCATTCTGCCACGGCTGTAAAGGTATACATTTCTTTTGAGCCTATACTGATTGAATTCTTTTAGGAAGCAAAGGAAAAGGCCCTTCGACGAGAACGGGAAGAGCAGAAGCTGGCCGAACGTCGTCGCAAGGAGAAAGAGGCTGAAGAGAAGCAGTCGAAGGTTGTCGAGATCACCGATCAGGAAGCCCGCGAGTTCGGAGGCAAGGACTTCACAACAAGACGAGACCCCGCAAAGGAGCCGAAGCGCGTGGAAACTGCCGAAGAAGGGGTAATTTTACTTTAGTTTATTTGTAGTTTCTTTTTTAGGAAGAAACCGAGATTGGAAAGTTGCTACCGAACTCTGGGAATGGTGCGGATCTGGAGAAATATTCGTGGACACAAACGCTACAAGAGATCGAGGTATTGCATCCTCACTGATATTGACTTTTGTTTTTAGATTCGTATCCCACTGAAGGCCGGCTTTGCGCTGAAGTCGAAGGACGTGGTGGTGGTTGTCGAGAAGAATCATCTAAAGGTCGGCATCAAGGGACAAGCACCAATCGTCGATGGAACACTATCCAAGTTGATCAAGACAGCCACTTCACAATGGGTACTCGAAGACAAGAAGGCTGTCGTGCTCACCTTGGAAAAGGTATTATTCTTTGAAACTTACTTTAATATCGCTTTAGGTAAATGACATGGAATGGTGGTCAAGGATCCTGGACACTGATCCAGAGATCAGCACGAAGAAGGTGCAGCCGGAGAACAGCAAGCTGAGCGACCTGGATGGAGAAACGAGGGCTATGGTGGAAAAGATGATGTACGATCAACGACAGAAGGAGATGGGACTACCCACAAGTGAAGAACAGAAGAAGCAGAATATTCTCAAACAGTAAGCCACATTTCTTTGGTCTTTATTTTCACTTTTTTAGATTCATGTCTCAACATCCGGAGATGGACTTCTCGCAGGCCAAGTTCAACTGATCGCCCATCTTTCGTGCTGTATTCTACCCTTTTTGCTTGTGATGATTGCTTCGGTTTGATAAATTTTTACTTTGTAAATGTTAAGTCACTGGGAAATACACAGGAAATGGCTGGGTTGGCGTATCTCGTGGAGGTCTTCTTGTTTTGGACTTTGCTTTGATGGTTGGCGAGGATTCTATGGTGTGATGCAGTCCCTAGCTTCACCCGGTAGATGTGCATCAAGGCTGAGCTCTCCGATGTTGAATACCTGCAGTGGTAGGGGATTAGTTTATGGCGCTTTGACTTACCCTCCTCGGCACTCCACCCTCCGAAACATAGGCCTTTGGGACCTCGATGACCACTTTTCGCCAGCATTCCTGGTATCAATTATCGTCGAGTGATTCTCTCTACTCACCGTTGCCTCATCATTACAATTATGGAGGATATACACACGCGGTCGTATCGACCCAATCTCCGTATCATTTCCTGAAGTGGACATCGCTTTTTGTCTTTGTTTTTTGGGGGTTACCATATACTTGAAAAGCTCCATTTTCATCGCTCCTCGTCTCCATCAACAGATCATCTTGGAAGAGGCCGAAATCGTATTCCCAGAATTTGATGCGGGCATTTGGATAGGGGCGCAGATTGCAGAAGAGCCTGCCCTAGAGAAGATTTTGAAAAAGGGGGATATGCAAACTAATTTTATTCAAAATTTTACAGTAAACCAACCGTTGCAGCGGCGCTTTGGAGATTGCCCAGACATGAAATACCGTGGAAAATGGCCAGGAGTACGCCAAGATAATGAATAGTTGAGATCATAATAATATTAAGTATGTTTAGAGGAATAAAAAGGCAAATTTGAGTAGAGTCGGACTTCCTGCTCAGTGCTATTGATTGGATTTGAGGGAGCGAGTCAGGAGGAAGAGGCGAGCCAGCACTTTCACTTTGGATTCGAACTGTTGAGTCACACTCCCTATTGCCTTTTACAGGCACGGTAGAGGCTGAAAAACCAGCGATATTACGAGAAGAAAAATAGCTTTTTCTAAAGTTTTTTGGTTCAAAATCTATATCAAAAACTCAAATTTTGGACGGAAAAAGTGTTAAAAGTTTCTTACCTCATAAAATCGTGAAAAGTGCGTGAATGATGTTTTTGGATGTTTTGGTGCTGTTGGAGGTGTATGATCGGTAGTGGAGGGAGGGCTTGGAGATAAAATATGGATGAGGGGGAACTAGGCAACAAGGGTATGTCTCTCTCGTCAATAGAGAGACCCAGAAGAAGCCCAGTATTCCTAGATGGTGCTTATTTTTATTTCAATAACAATTATTTACTAAATATCGATTAGAAATGGATGATGATGATTTCACGGGATTTGACATTGGGCAACCGATGGTTTGGGTTAATGGTACGGCATTTTTATGGTAATCTAGCACAGATTATTGGGGATTTTCTCAGCTAAAAGAAGATTAATAGCTAGGCAATCTAGCAGAGATTTTTGCGGATTTTTGGGCGGAAAACGCGTTATTAGCTACGCGATCTAGCAGTAATGGTTCAAGGATCTTGTCGATTTTAGAGACCCCAGAAACTACAGAAGAAGGCCCAGTCTTTGGCCCAGAAAATCGACCAGGAGGAGCTATCGAAAAAGAAGAAAAGTATGTATTGAAAGAACCCCTTCATTGTCTAATGTTTTAGAGATCAACCACTGATAGAAAACGAAAAGTTCGTGGAGGAAAAGCCGAGAAAATCGAGTATAATCCAGCAAGATCCTCCAAGGCCCAAACCTCAACCCTCACCCCCAAATGGCCTTCGATTCAGAAGATATGTCAGGGTGCCAAGGCCTGTTAGAGGACGTAAACTACGCTATTTTATAATTTTTACACTTCTCTGATAGCCAGAAAATGGGAACACAACCCTCCGCCAGCATCTGCTGAAAAAGAAGAAGAACCTGTTTATTATGGACCGGATAATCGACCGGCAGGTTCGAATAAATTTATTTTTTAGTTTAAAAAATAAAAATGATAATAAGGTAATTTTATTAAAAAAACTCGATTTTGTGTTTAGATTGGATCTCAAAACCTCCAACGCCACAACGGAAGAGATCGGTGGATTCAGAGAAAATGACTGATGTCGAGACGCCGGTTGTAAGTTTTTAAAGCAATTTTACAGAATTTCAGGAAGATCGAAAATTGTTAAATTTTCAGCGTAAACCACCGCCAAAACGGACGCCTTCTTCCAATCGATTTCCGCCTCCAGGTACAGCTTACGATTTCAAGAGTATTAATTGCTTTTATATGTAGACGTTTTACTGCCTCCAGCACGTCAGGAAATTGATGTGGTACCGCTGGGTAGGTTTTTCAACTTTAGAAACTAGCTAAAAACCTCTGATTTTTATCAACGCGATATAAACACTCTTTTTAAACGAATTCTAGATCCAAACGACGAGATGTTTTGGCGATCATCGTGGCAAGAGCGGAACGAAGGAAATATTGACGTTTCTGGCGTATTGGCGTGGGTTCTAAATGGCGATTTTTCTCTTTTACTCCACCTAAATTAACTCTGGTTTTAATTAGTTGAATGCTAAAATTCAGATATTCGGCAATAGACGTCCGTCCAAAAGCCGAGCCACCGCCTCTTCCTCCTATTCCACTCACCCCAAAATGCCCTTATCACCCGGATTGTGATGGGAAATGCCAATAAAACTGTCATTTATTTATTGCAAGCGAAAATATATGGAATTTGTAGAAAAAAACTTGAAAAGGCGGGGAAGGTAACAAACTCACCGCGTTAAAATTTGGCTTCAAAACAGTGAAAAAATTTAATTCTGTTTAATTCTGTCATTTTATCGAGTTTTAAGTACGGCGATGCTTGCAAAAAAGGAAAGAGGAGCTGACAAGATAAGGGGGAAGCATCCATTTCAACACAACGGACACCTGGCTATCGATTCAGCGCTTCTAAAAAGTCTTTCTTCGGCTGTTGGCTTTCCGGATTTTATTGCATCCGTTTTTAAGACCCTTTTGTGTTTACCAACTTCCACATGAACATTCATTTCGCCATTTCAAACGGCTTTTTTCGGTTTAGTTTGTGCTCTTCAGGAATGGCGATGGTCCCGCTTGGAGAGGGTGGATTTGGAGAAGTATGGCATCTACCCGATACTGAACCGTAAGTATTGCTGATCTGCAAAGAGGGAGTGTCTCGAATAGACAAATGGTGATGAAGAAGGTTCGACAGACAAATGACACCGACAGTTATTTACGGTATTTGAGGGAACTTCAAACATTGAAGGTAACTCTAACAATAAGATCTCTTCTAATAGTCCATTCCCCTTTTTCGATAATACAGGAAGTAGTCCTAGGAATTACATTAGGGCAAACACGGTCTATTTAGGATCTGATACATGAAAATGTGGTCCGATATTATGATGCTCCCTCGACCTTGAATTATCCTGGCATCAAACCAGACGACTTGTTGTTATTTATGGAATACTGTGAACACCTTTCGTTGCGACATGGTAACGTTTTTCAAGCAATTTCAAATGGATTTTCCTTACAAGGGAACCTCGCGCGGACGTGGTGGAATTTCGTAAAACGCTCGCGGCTACCCCCGGGTAATCGACCATTGCCAAGACAATGCGCTTGCCAGATTTTTCTAAATAGACCCGTGGACAGAGATACAGCATTTCCAGAAAATGCTGATTTACATGCGAAAAATTTAGCATAGAGGGATAGTTTATAAGGCTCCCACATCACTCTGCAATCACCAGTTGAATGGCCGATCGGTAAGGGACTCGTTTGATAGGATACTAACGGCGGTTCGAATCCGCTCACGACTTTTTAGTTTTGCTTTTTCGGCAGAGATTTTTGCACAAGTCCAGGAGCATGCGTGTTGAGGCACTTCTTAATTTTATGACAGTTATGCTTACGGCGACGTCAGAAAATTATTCATGTAAAATTTTTGTATGTAAACTATCCCTCTATGCTAAATTTTTCGCATGTAAATCAGCATTTTCTGGAAATGCTGTATCTCTGTCCACGGGTCTATTTAGAAAAATCTGGCAAGCGCATTGTCTTGGCAATGGTCGATTACCCGGGGATAGCCGCGAGCGTTTTACGAAATTCCACCACGTCCGCGCGAGGTTCCCTTGTTAGTTATCACGGACATCAACTTGGTCTATTCAATGGCAACAATAGCTCAATGGTCGACAGAAATGTTCAGCGCTCTCGAACATCTTAAAAGTATGAACATTGTTCATCAGGATGTCAAACCGGATAAGTAGGTTGCAATACAAAGGGCATTTTTGATGATTTCTAGTTTATTTGTCTGCGGTCATGATTATGTGCTAAAATTAGGAGATTTTGGCATTGTCCGCGATATGAAAACGATTGGAAAGTATCGAGGTGGAACACGTGGTTATAAAGCGCCGGAAATTGAATACGGCGAAACGCTGGTTGGAGAGGTTAGCGTCAGGGTTTAGTGGCAAATCTGTGAAATATTTAGGACGCCTATAAATGTGATATTTATGGAGCTGGATGGGTTGTATTTGATATGGTTAATAGAAGGTATACAGTATTGGGCTGGAACGTAAGTCTCTGCGCTTTTTTCAAAGCTCGCTGTTTGTCTTAATCGTGGACTTTGGACCAAGTGTTATATATCATTCGAAAGAGCTTTCTTTTCTCTATCAGACACTGGCATTAGTTTAATTTGTACGATCACATTGCTCGAAATTACTGGGTTAGAATGAAAATCGTCGCTTTCCTTTGCGCTCGATTATGAGCACGATCGCTAATTATTTTTACAGTTGACCTATTGGGCTTCGAAAGAATTTTTATTCCTCTTCCTTTTCATGTAATTAAATTATTTTTTAAATACCCTTTCAGTAATTTTTAGCAAATCGAAAAATTGACCAAAATGCGCCCTTCCTTCACTTGCTAATTTCTGCGTTAAAAACAATTATTTAGCACATCCCTAGCTCAAGCTGGACTTTTCTGCCTATTTAGAAGAAAATACAACGTTCAGAATCAAACAGAGATATCTTGAAATTTTCATGGAAAAACATCAACCAAGGAGAACTACTGTCTGGTGCGATAATTTGAGCCCGGGTTTAGCGTAGACAAATCCATAAACCTGTTAATCTTTGGCAGCAAGCTGTAGTCGTACTTGTGGAATACATAATAGATAAAATTTGATTTGATAATTATGGTACGGAAAAATTTTGCCTGGTGCGGTCGTCGAGCCTTCGAGGGTCATTTTCGTCGATAATTCGTTCCGCGAAATCCATGCAAAAGTAACGCCTAGAAAGTAAGCGGCTATTCGAGCCTTGTAGAGCACAAAATGTGCTTTCTAATGGTATATAGGACACCGCAAAAAAGTTCGGACTTCCGCGCGAAAATTGAGCCCGAAAATACGCAGAGACTTGCGTTCCAACCCAATACATGAATCCGCTCAAACGAAATTTAGACCCGGGAACCGAGACATTCAGGAAATGTTCAAGGATCATCGACATTTAGCTACGCTGAAAAGGCTTGTAATCGGGTGGGATGATTAAATTAAATTAATTAATCGAATTAATTGAATCAAATAGATATTATACTTCATTTTATTAGATGTACAAATAAAGAAGTTGCGAATCGATTGAGTGTTGAGGATGCTTTGGCCCATTGCAAAACAATGACCAAGGTAAGGTAAAATATCGACAAATCGCGACCGAAATTGCAGGAGTTCAAGAAATATCACGCAAAGCCAGATCCTGATCAAAAACCCGGCGAGCTAAAGCCCCCAGTTGGATTGAATGAAAAAGGAAAGCAGGCTGACGGACAGACCGAGCAAATACATATCCATGGGGTTGATCTAAGCTTCAGTTCATCCTGCAGTCTCCAGATGGCTCCAAAAGCTAAACAGAACCAATCGACGGTTACTCGACGAGAAAAACTACTGATGGATTTTGTTGTAGATGTGTTTCTTCGTGAGTTCTTGTGCTGGAGAGTGCCAAGGGAATGCCTTGCGCACTGACCGTTTGACACCTGAATAGTTACGAAAGAAGAAAGAACAACTTTGGTACTTATCAAGTTGGGGGGGGCCACTTTGGTTTTCGACTTTTTGAGTCTTTCTAGGCTAGTTTTTTGTGCTGGTTCCGAATATAACAAAATCAGAGTAGTAAAACATCATTATCTAAACGTTTGTTAAGAGTTAGAGTTTCAGCTACCCAGTTTGAGCCTAAAAATAAGGCTTCGTGCCACCCGGGGCCTAGTCGCTTCGGATGGGTGCGAGCTCGTACAGGGTTTCGAAATCGGGGCGCCCGAGGAGCGCGAAGCGCCCAGGCGCCCCGATTTTGAAAGAGTGGAGCGGCAGCCCATCCGAAGCGACGGCCCGCCTTGCCTGACGATGCGGCATGCCCAAATTGTGCATAAGTCCACTTTTTATTAATAAATTTTTACGCTGTTTTTCTGGATAAACCCAACGGTTTGACATGCTGTTGCGACTCTAATCGCATTCAGCGTAAAAAACTACCCCAGAAAGACTCGAAAAGCGATAAAAAAGTGTCTCCTAATAGGTACCCAAAGTGGCCCCCCCAACTTGATAAGTACCACAACTTTTATTACACAACGGTAAAACGACCTAAAAAACAAGCAGCGGGACAAGCCGGGAAAAGTGGGAAGGGAGAAAATCACAGGGGCTCTGTGGCTCGGGGGGAAAGGGTGCACAAGGGGACGGAGGGAGGAGTACTGCGTCGTAGCGCATACAGGGCAAACGATTCGGATCAGCTTTTGCTTCTTCTCTCAACATCTCCCTTCGCGAAATGAAGTGGTGGACGAACGTGGACTTCCTGACGATGACGGCTTCATGGGCTCTTCACTGGTAGCGGGTATTCGGTCTTCGGACGCGCTTGTGGTCGAGGATGGGTCCGAGAGTCGTCGTCGTCTTCTTCTTGGGTGGAACGACCGGTGCTACCCATTTATTGTAAGTGACCGGTTTTAAAACCGTCAACTCAACGGCTCCCCGACACTTGCGGCGCGGACACTTGGGGCGCGACACTTGCGGCGCGACATTTGCGGCGCGACACTTGCGGCGCGACACTTGCGGCCGACACTTGCGGCGCGGTCATTTGCGGCGCGACACTTGCGGCGCGACACTTGCGCCCGACACTTGCGGCGCAGCATTTATTATTTTAAAATGTTGTAAACTTAGCATTTCTTCACGGATTTTGTTTGTAATTGTTGTATTTGTGTTCAAAATTAGCAATTTAACCGACCCGCAGTCGGAACGCCCCTGAGGGCGTCAGGCAAGGTGGGCCGTCGCTTCGGATGGGCTGCCGCTCCACTCTTTCTAAATCGGGGCGCCTGGGCGCTTCGCGCTCCTCGGGCGCCCCGATTTAGAAACCCTGTACGAGCTCGCACCCATCCGAAGCGACTAGGCCCCGGGTGGCACGAAGCCTTTTTCTAGTCGCAGAGCGGAGGAAGTAGCGATCACTTTCCCTCCAAACTGAGTGACTTCTGCCGCAAACCCAACTTTTTATAATTTTTTAATACCAAATTCGGACGCAGCTTATCAAATAACACCTTAAACTATTTTTATATAGCTTATACTAAATAACCGCAAGGTCGCGCCGCAAGTGTCGGGCGCAAGTGTCGCGCCGCAAATGTCGCGCCGCAAGTGTCGGGCGCAAGTGTCGCGCCGCAAGTGTCGCGCCGCAAGTGTCGCAGCCGCAAGTGTCGCGCCGCAAGTGTCGCGCCGCAAGTGTCCGCGCCGCAAGTGTCGCGGTACCAACTCAACAAGTCGCTGGATTTCTTGTTCAATGGCAGATTCCATTGAGAAGGCAACACGTCGAAAGGGAAAGAAAATTGGTTGTGCATCTTCTTTTAGCTGCAATTCGGCTTTTGCAACCGTGCACAAACCAAGGCCATCCTTGAAAACAGCTGGGTATTTCTCGACAAGCTCTTTCTCCAGATGAGAAGGCTTCACTTGTACCTTATTCACACACAATTCTTCGAAACACGAAGCGAATTGAGGCAACTGATTTATCCAATCAAGTCCCATCAGCCGGATGTTGTTCGTCACAAAACATCGGCCGTGCCCTTCAATGCCTTTCACTTCAAATTTAGTGTCAAAGGACCCTTTCACGTCAATTGGACTGCCGTTTGCAGCGCGTAGTTGAATATTCGTCTTTTGTAACTGTGGACATTTCAGTTTATGCCACACAACATCATCAATAATCGTTACAGCTGCTCCGGTATCTAATTGCAACGTAAAATCGATTCCTTGGATGGAAATCTCGACATCTTTCCGAGTAGAGTCGATGGCATTGATGTGGACAACCTGATTCACCTTCGGTTTCCAATCTTTTTTTGTGAAAATTCCTTGCTTTAGATGAATTTTCAGCACCGCGTGCATTTCCAGAACCTCCGCGACACTCTTTCGCCCAGTGTCCGCGTTTTCCACACTGATGACATGTGTCATTCCGCTTGTCCCTTGGGGTCCGATCATTAGAATCGAAGTTTCTCGGGCTACCATTGCTAGAGGCATGCCCTTGACCCTTGTTCCACGTCTTTCGCGACCCGTGCTGGATCCGATTCACACTGGCATGCTGTTCGACTACAACATCCAGGTTCAGGCTTGTTTGCAGATCGCATTCTCGCAGGAGATCCTCAAGCTTTACGTCATCCTTCGACTCCAGGATACGTATCAGCTTCTTTCGGATTTCGCGATTGGCCTGATCGGCTAATCCAGCCACAAAAAGTAGGCACTTTTCTTCGTCCTCTTTCATTTCTTTGACGCGACCCTGCTCATAGAGTTTGTTGACGCGTGTGGCGTATGACCGCATGTCCTCATCAGCTTCCTTCGTCACGCGAAAAGCGAGGAATCGACGGCTGAAAAGAGACATCTTTTCACCGAACAACGATGTCAAATGCTTGACAATGTCGGGATACTTCACATCGGCCAACTCCGTTGGACGCGTGTGGTCAGCCAGCAAATTGTACGCTTTGGCATCGAGCATCGAGATAACGAGGTGTTTTTTGTTATCCTCGGTGATGCGCGTTTCCGTGGACACGAGGTTATTGAAACGCTCGAGCCACTTCTCGAACGTATGCCCTTCAGTTGGGTCATACTCGAAACGGCATAGACGAGTGGCTAGGGCGCCCAACTCGATCGCATTCAGAGGCCTAGGCAATTGGCTTGAATCTTCGCCACCTTCTTCCCCTGGATGGGTTCGGGTGCGGATCACGTCGATGAGTTGCGTCATTTGGGCTAGCAACGCCTTCATGTCGGGGTCGGCCATGTTTCAACTTCAGGTGCGGCTCGAATCTGCTCGCCAATGTTGTAGATGTGTTTCTTCGTGAGTTCTTGTGCTGGAGAGTGCCAAGGGAATGCCTTGCGCACTGACCGTTTGACACCTGAATAGTTACGAAAGAAGAGAGAACAACTTTTATTACACAACAGTAAAACGACCTAAAAAACAAGCAGCGGGACAAGCCGGGAAAAGTGGGAAGGGAGAAAATCACAGGGGCTCTGTGGCTCGGGGGGAAAGGGTGCACAAGGGGACGGAGGGAGGAGTACTGCGTCGTAGCGCATACAGGGCAAACGATTCGGATCAGCTTTTGCTTCTTCTCTCAACAGATTTGAAACAGCAGTTGGGGGCAACTGCTGAATACAGTCGCTTAACAATGGCTCTCATACTTTTATGCGGCAACGGCGAAGCAGGCGGCCCGGGCCATGAATACTGCCATATGAGCAGAAGGGAATTATGTGCTACAATCCTTCAAAATCTGCTAAATCTCCCGTTTGAGGATCAATTGGAATGTGCTGAGGAGATGGAGAGATACTGGAAGGTCGATGCTCCTGAACTTTATGAAAGAGTTCCTGAACGTGAACAACACGACGAGCGACAAAGAACTATTCATTCCACCGGTCAATTGCAAGAGTCAATTTTGAAAATTCTGGGCATGTTCAGAAGCCTGATTGAATGGGATGTATGGCTTCAACGGGAATACCATGAAACACAGCTCGAGGCACTGATTGAGACAGATCTCGGAGCCCTTCCATCTTGGGATATCCTAAAACACCTCGATGACGCGATTAATATAATGAAAGAATTAGGGCAACTATTTGCAGTAAGAGCCATTTATCCAATTGTCACCATTCAAGGATCACGATATTCATGGTATTATTTAAAAGAGGTGGGATTGTTGCGGAAAGATTGTACCGATACTCGCACTGAAGATAGCTGGCACGGACAAATAGCTTATATGGATACTGGAGAAAAAGAGCCATTAAATAATGAGCAGATGAGAAGGGCTTTAATTGATGCGAAGAACTCTTTTGGAAAGAATCTGTTGAAGCAGCGTGATACAATGGCAATGGTACGGTCGAATGATAGCTGGGAGTCAATAACAATGGATGCTCTGTGTGCGATGAATAGTCCCTGGTTGGGGGGCGACGGGCTGTTAGGGCAGGTGAAAAGAATCCCTGGTCAGCCATTCCCTGGGTACGTATTTCTCATTGACCACCCTCCATCCCATCAATGTCCTAAAGAACAATGTAAAATTGTTGGCGGATTTCCAAGCTGGGCAGACCCCAAACACCAAATCCACTATCATCAATGTTTGACAAAGGAACAAATTGAGTATATTGAAGTTTATACGTTGATGTTAAGCTCGATTCAATATATCAAACGGCGGCCATCAATGTGGATACCGGATCCCGTGGATTTATTGATTGAATACAAGGGAAGAGGCAGAGACTGGTCAGTCCCTTTCGCCTTAGTCGAGTTCGATGACGGCACTAACGGGCTACTAGTTCAATATCACCACTCAGTGAAGCGAGGAACGTTTCTCAACAACAAGATGAAACTTGTGTATTCCAAGGAGGGGATAGTGAAGTCTATGCGATTTGTCCTTGTGCGGTTAAGTGATCTGGTTGACATAATTCCTACTCGGCCTCTATCTCTTTGTTTTTTGCGGCATTGGTTCTTTGCTAGTGAGTAGCCATCAGCTTTGTCCATCGAATCCCCAGGCCAAAATTTTCGAAATCTCTATCTAGGCGGGCGAGGTACCTAGCCGGCCGAAATTTTGTGTGGTTGTAGAGTAAGGTGGTGAGTGGAACATGCTCGCAAAATTCACGCGTCTCCCGGTGCCCGCGCGGCTTGCGCTTTCAAATTTTGCGAACAGGCTCCGCTCTCCTTACCCCACAGCTTCACAAATTTTCAGCCCTTTAGGTACCTAGCCCGCCTAAAAAGATGCTTCAAAAGTTTTGGCCTGGCGGTGAACAAGTTTGGTAGCCATATCCTTTTCGACATTTTAGCACGGCAAGACAGAATTGACACATTTTGGGAAAACGTAACGTGAGTTGTCAAACCCGTCCAACTAAACTTTATATTAAGCAACCGAAAATTGGACAATGCTTTTGACTAACACATATCAAGAAGTATGGTTGCAGCAATTCTGGATGAAGGCGAATATGCGATATGCCAATAAATTTTGCGTTTATTTAATTGAAACGAAGGATGCACAAATTACAGAAAAACGTTCAAAAAGGCACAGATAACAGCATGGAATGTAACATATTACAACGCAACAATTCAACCAAAAACAGTGAAAAAGCTTCATCCTAATTCAGGGGCTTTTTGTTGATCATATCCATGTCGGCGCCAGTCAACAGATCCGCTTCAGCCACCTAAAAAGACAAAAACTAGCGCACTGGAGTCAAATTTTGCACCTCCAATTCCCTCCTCAGATCATCGGCAATCTTTTGGCCATCTTCTAGACTTTGTTCCTCGCGAAGACACACCTAAAATTATCGATACACTACACTTTACGAACTACAACTCATTACCTCCAATTCCATAAAATCCCCTAATCCGTCAACAGTATCAATATGTACTCGTGTCTGTCCGACCATAAATAATTGACGAATCTTCTTGACTTCTCCTTTTATTCCCATTGACAGGGAGAGGGTATCCTAAATAGAAATAGTCACTAAAAATAGTTGTGATGCCTGCAGATCTTTCAGCAATTCATCTGGGAGTACAGTCTTCTTGAATTCAGATAGTTTTGGGCCGGCCACATCTGGACGATTATACCAGATTAGCTCGTTACGGTTCTAAAAGAAAGAATTGGAGAGAGAGAGAGAGAGAGAGAGAGAGAGAGACAAGAGAGAGAGAGAGAGAGAGAGAGAGAGAGAGATGGCTATACCTCTCCTTCCGTAGACAACATTCTCATCTTCAGCCGTCCATTTGGCGCTTCATAAAAGATGTCGTGTTGCTTGATTTCGGTTCCTTTTGACGAACTGCAAAAATGAAAAATACTTCGAATCCAAATCAATCAAATTGAATTCCAAAGGTCCTTAAAACTAAATTAAATGCCATAATTAATAAAACCAATTCCCTACCTCAATTTGGCGGCCAATTCGACGATTCTCGCCAGATCCCTGACCACAGCCTTGATCTCCACATTTCGCGGCATTTTTCTGGCCTAAAAAATAGGAAAAAGCCTATTTCATTTTTCTATAGTTTTTCGGTATTTTAACGGCCGTTTTAAAATGCCTGATTCGTGTTTTAACGCGTTAAAACTTAGAAGAAATGTGCATTTATTGTGTGGCATTACAGGGAAAACAGAAAACAAAGAAACAAACAGAAAACGAAATAAATAACAATTAGGGTGAGAGGGAGGGGGAATAGAGAAAATGGGCAACAATTAGAAGGGATTAACAACGAAATTTAAAGAGGAGAAATAGAAATAGAAATGGAAATAGATAGATACAATCACAGATTGATCAAACCAAATAGCGAAAGAAAGAAAGAAGGGAAATTATTACAACAAATGAGGGAAGAGATATCGTAATACAAATTAACAAACTTTCCTTTATATAACTAAAGATATATTATGTAGTGTCCTTTAATAGCTGAATTTTCCTGAGTCTCTCGACGGCCGATGAAATATACGGGAGATCTTTGGGGGAACAGCGCAGGATGTCGGCTGCCAGCTTCGCGCGGATGCACAGTTTTCTGAAAAACACGAGTTAAATAATGATGAAAAATTGGTAGAAATTTCCATCAAGTTCAAGCAGTTCAGAGAGAAATTTCTTGGTCATTTTCAGCCAATTTTCGGCAGACATGACTAATTTGGTGAAAATCGCAGCCTGAAAACATTTTCAAGCAGTTGAAGTTCAATGGTGATTTTGCTACATGATAAAAATGCCCGCTGACGTCAATTTCAAGGAGTTCAAGCGGAAGAAATTCGTTAAATTCGTTTAGTTTTCAGGTGAACTGCCCAAATTTGACGAAAATTGTTGGTTGCCAAGCACTTTCAAGCAGTTCAGGCAAAATTGAGCTTCTTCAAAAGCGTTTTACCGATTTTCAGCCCGAACTGCTTGAAGTTGACGGACAACCAGATCGGCCTAAAAGCCTGAGAAAAGCAATAAATTGTCACCGAATAATATTGGGAGCAGCGTTCTCGGGAACGAGGGCCCTCCTCAACGCCATCCACACTTCAATATCATGTCTTGCATGCACTTCGATACGAACGGAATCATCTCCAACTGGCACTACCTGCAAATAGACATCTTATAGGGGGCTATTAACAGCCATTATACCTCAATGACCACATGGATAAAATCCCCAAAAAGGGAGCCCATTTGGTATCGTTTGCCACTCTCATTCCACACCATACAGCACACGTTATTGCCTAAAATAGCAAGTCAAAATAAAATAAAATAACCTACCAATGAGCTTCTTCTTATTATTGCATTTGTCGTCATTTTCGAGGCGTGGCATTAGGGTGGCGATGAGGAATACCTGGAAAAGTAGAGAATTACAGAGAAATTCGGTGCTTTTGCATTAACGGGGGTGGTAGGTTTTTCTACGCGTTTTTCGAACCCCTGAACATTCAAAAAACCCAATAAACTTTTTTTAAAAATTCGAAATTCTCAATTTTCCGAACAAAGTTTGAATTTTTAAAAAATTTGTAGACATTTTTTAGCACTTGAAATTAGCTCAATTTACAAAAAATCCCCGTTAAAACATGCTAAATTGAAATTGTGGCGTTCCGAGGAACTTCTGGATTTCAGGAAAGGATTCGGTGGCGTCCCCCCGATAATGCCAAAGCTCCAGAAAAAAGCCTCTAAACGCCTTACCATACTGCTAATCTCGTCCAAATGTGTGTACGTATAATCTCCATTCTTCTCGGCAATCAGCCCTCCTCCCAAATCATGAGCCGTCGATTGAGGGGTGCCCAGGGATCTGAAAATAGCGTCCAATTTTTTAAGCAAAAAATAAAGTTAAATAAAAAATCAAATAACTAAAAACTTATTAACACTTCAAATAATTTAACTTATTAACAAAAAATTCAAATATTTGAACGTACTTGATGAAATGTTCATATCTCTTGGTGCCATATGGATTAGAGAGGACATCAGTCTCTGTCGATTGTCCACTTCCCATAAATATCACCCCGACAGGATGAAGCTCTATTCCAGAGATACGGTCCAGATTACGGATACGCGTCGACACAAGGTCATTCGTCTAAAAATCCAAAATTCAGTATACTGTAGCTATTTTAGTACCTTTTTCGGGCCGATCCTCTTGGAGCCGGACAATCCGGAGAGGTGGAGGGAAAGAGACCCGTATTCATCCATTCCATCCAAATCTAGGAAAAACGGGAATTTTGGTGAATCAAATTAAATACAAAATACAAAATTCATTGATAAAAATCGATCGATGATAAATTTAAATCGAATAATTTCATTTAAATTTAATTAAATAATTTTCCGTAATTTTAAATATTATAATTGACCATTTTTTAGACAAAATAAAATTCCATTTTCGAAAATACTGCAATTCAAAACTTAATTTAATTAAACTTACTGGGCCCAAATCCAGCCTGATCGATCCTCCTCATAATCCACGAATCCCTTCCGTACATATGACGCACAATCATCTGCGTCACGCTGATCTTTCCTTCTAAAACTCAGGGTAAAACTATCAAAATCTAGCTAATAACGTACCGTGTACTTTCGGGATAGGCGTGAATTTGTGTGCAGCTTCGAGGGCCGTCTGATACGTCTCAACGGTACGGGGATTTTGAGCGGCTGCAGCACGCAGGTCACGCAGGATCTAGAAAATAGATTCGCGCGTTCTAAAGGGGCATTGACGGGTAAAAAATGTCATAAATATTCTAAAAAAATACCCTGTCCTGCTCGTCCCTCTTCTCGGCGATTGATGCCCTAGATGAGGAAGCGGAAGTAGAGGGCCGGATGGCAGAAGCATGTCTAAAACACCAAAATAAAAACTAATAAAAATCCAAACCTTCTCCTAGCATCAGGATCGACATGAGGGGATGACCACGAGGTGATATTCTCCGAGAAACGGTCTTCTAAATATGGAAAATGGTAGAAAAATACGGCTACAGTACCCTGATCTTGTTGTTCGATGGCTCTGCTGCCCTTTTTGACCATATTTCTCAGCGTGACAATACTATCCCCGGTTGAATATGTTGTCGATTCTACTTCTTCCTGAAAAAAATATACTAAAATATTTATAAATTAGCAAAAATTAAATTAAAAACTCAATATTAATAAAATTCAAAATTAAAGAACAATAAAATATATAGAACTAATAAAATTAAATTTTAGAAAATCTTACATATCCATCAACTTCTGGCATTCCACCAAAAACATGGGCAGATATTCGGCCTAACCGGAAGAACTGGAGGAGCGCCGTTTGAATCTCTTTCATAAACTAAAAATAAATAATAAAAAATTAAACGTAGAATTTGTACCTTTTTCTGTAGTTTGTGGCTGAGGCGTCCCTTCGATCCGCGTTGAAAATATTCGGAGGGTGGGGTGTTTCCTTGCAGGGAATTACTCGGCGAATCCTGCAAAAAATAGCGGTAAATCGATAATAAAAATTGGAAAAACCCTAATATGCATAAAGTCCACAATAACCGCTAAAAATTCTATTTTTACAATTAAAAATTGAAGTTGAAATTTTCCAAAACTAAAAAATAAATTCCTCAAAAACAATTACAAAAATAATTTTTAAATTGACGCTTAAAAACGCTATGTTTTAAAAACCGACCTCATCAACCTCATCCTCCATTCCATTAGCATTCGGCTTCTGACTATCACTGGCATGTCTCTGAAGCGCTTCCTCTACCTTCTCCTCGTAATATCTACACATATCGATCCAAAATTCAAATAATGTGTCGATACCTGGAAATATCAGCCCTATAAATGCGTGGTACTTTTGAGAACCATCTCATGAGAATACGATGTGCACATACAACAACATAGATTGAATGTACTTTGATGTTTAGATACGGCACCAGGATATCCACAACCATCTCGAAGTTTTCTTCCTGAAAATCGGGAGTAAAATAAAGATTTCCCCAATTTCCTCTGCTAGTGTTTTGCCGCATGAAAAGCTGTAAATTTAGCCAAATTTAAGATTTATCGACAGCTAAAAATTGAAAGATCGCAAAAACAGCTCAAAAAAATTCCTAAATGATCTCTGTTAGCTCGTCAGCTTGAAAAGTAGTAAATTTAACGTAAAATCAATACAATTAAAAACGCTAACAATCGGCAAATAGCTCAATACAAATTTTCCACAAATTTTCTCTGCTAGTTATCCCCTATAAAAATCCTCATAAATACCTGAAAGATGGTGTGCAACATCTCAATGCCACTCGTATCACTCATCAACTCCAATACAGGGATTGCTCTTCGGGGGGATGGATCGAGGGAACGGATCGTGAGGAGAATCTGATGCGCATACAGCGCCATTTGTTCTGGCAGCATCTAAATACAATAAATTGAATTTTTTAAACATAACCGGTCGATTTAACAATTTATTAGTAGTATTTTTTATACATTATTAACGTCATAAACCTTCTTGAAACAATTTAAAAAGTAGGAAACGCACCTGTACAGCCAATCCACAAGATTGTATCGCTTCGGAGTGATGTCCGACTTTTATCTTGAGACATTCCACCAGAATCCGGCAGACTTCTCGCTGACGTTTCTCTTCTAGTGGGTAGTTGAGGATTGCGATGAGGAGTTGCGGAAGGTAGATCACAATCTCAGAATCGGCTACCTTATCGGAAAATCGTCATTAACAAGCGAATCGATACCTTTAACGTCTTCAGCCTCTCAAACATGTCAATACATCCATCCAAAAGAGCGTCCAAATTCTGTTGCCCACAACTCATGATGAAATCGATCGACTAAAAAATAGAATTATAATTTTTTAAATTAAATTTGTAAAATCAACGTATATTAAGGGATAACTGATACCTCTAGCGTCCGATTGAGACTTTTTAGGATAGAACGAAGAGCCTTCCAATGCGTCTCTTTTCGCAATGCTTCCACAATAATTGGGGCCACCAGATCGAACGACAGCTCCTTGCTTTCCGCCAGTTTTTTCTGAACAAATAAATTAGCTAATTTCATCGCGTAATCGATTACCGTAGATCCCTTCAGAAACGTGAACGAATTGATGGTGGGGGCATAGTCGTACAGCTCATAGCGTTCTGCAAAAATTGCAGTAAAAATCCGTCAAAAAAGTAAACTGAAAATAAAAAAACGAATGTAAAAATTACACAATACTGTAGAAAATTCCTAAGAAATCTCATAAAAAACTTACGAATCCGGTGCGAAATTGGGCATGCTTGAACGGACAAAATAGCCGAGAAGATCCGCACTCGAACAGAGCCACCGAGTTCGTGGAACTTTCCTTGCTAAAGAAAAATGAATAAGCGGTTTCAAGCAGTCTAACTCGCTAAGAATTCTTGATACCGTACTTGATATTGTGTGGAAATATGGGCGACGAAAAGCTCCAAAATATCCCTCATAATATTGCCGGGGAATTCGGGGAATCGGGAAGCTGTGATGGCACATAATTGCTGGGCAGTTACTTCGAGATTTTCGAGTATTAGCCGGGCCGTGGAAGGGCCTAAATTGTTAAAAAAAAATAGGTTTTGACGCTTTAAAATTACCACTATTAAAGCTGCTCCCAGAATTCTGGCGTTGTTTGAGGTGGTTGGCAATTTGGCGTTGATCAAGGTTCGTTTGGAATGAGCGGATGGAAGAATGGGATAGGCGGCGATCACGACGCTAAAAGGGGAAAAGTAGGAGAAGCCGGATAAAGCCTACATCTTCAACACCGAGTAGTCCCTCGTTGAACAGCTTCCGGGCGATGATAATGGCGTCATGAAAGCATTGTTCATCTACCGGGATCACTTTCAGGATTTCGAAGAGCAGGCTGATCATCAGGGCCTGAAAACGGCTCGTTTTATAGCCATAAAACCATTTTTTTCACCTGTATCTTGGGATGTGGTTCTCTGGGGGCAAATCCAAGCATCGGCAGCACGACCCTTTCCACCAGCTCCACCTCACACATCAGCTTGTTTTGCTTCAGATATTCCTTGATCGCTTGCAACGACTAAAATCCAGTTTGAATCAATTACGGACATTTTAACGTACCTTTTCTCTTCTCATATAATTCTGCCGTGCCGGGAGTCCTTTTTGGGCTAGAAAATAGGGCCAAAGGGCTTCCCGTAGTTCTTCAACCCAGCGAGGAGAGTAGATATCAACCATCTAAAAAAATTAAAAATCAGTTAAATTAACTTAAAATTCAGATTAAATAAAAATAGAATTGATTTTTCAAAAATTTATAAAAATATTTTTTTTATATAAATTTACCGAAATTCGGTCCTGAATGAGCCGATGAACAGCCGATGGCTCTTTCAAATCGCCGTAAACCTCGACAATATCGTAGACATAATTGCGGCACCAATGGACGAGACCACTAAAAATAGGGGGTAACTAGCAGAGATCTTTGCGGAACATACTCCATTTCCTCAAGAGAATGGACCAATCGATAAATGACCGGGCGACACATCTCTTCATAAGCTCTGTCCTTTTTGCATAATTTGTCGGCGGATTCGAGGACGTGGATCGTGTGCCGCCAATTCTCATCTGCGAAGCCGCGGCCATAGCGGAGCAGGAGGGCTCGCAGGCTCTAAAAAATTGCTCTACGTTGCTAAAACTCTTTTAAAATACTCAAAAACAATTTTTAAAAATGCTTAAAAATACTTAAAAGTAACAAAACTATTTAAAATCACCTAAAACAATTTCAAGAACATTTTACAAGTATTCAAAATTTATTTAAAAGTACTTAGAGCCATTTTTGAATATTTAAAATAATTTTAAAACCTTCCAAAAGTACTCGAAAATCATTTAAAAGACCATTGAAGGCCCAGAAAAATTGCCGTACCTCGATGACCTCCTTGCAAACATGCGGATCTGCCCTCATGGCCATTCGAAGGGATGATAGATAATATGTAGGACTGCCCGGTTCCATCGTCTAAACGTATCGAATGCTTAAACATCACTTAAAATCCTTTACCTCGACTCCCCATCCAGATTTCGCGAGCCAGAAGACACCCCCTCTGATGACTTGCACAAATTCTTGATGGCTATAGGAGAATCTGTCGGAATGGTGGCCAAAGCGAGGGGCAGATTGGAGCAGCTCTTGGATGAGACCTCTATAAAATATCGGAAATTCAGTTATAAAAATTCTTTACCGTGCCGTACAGCTAAATTGACTTCGCATTAATGCCTGCGCCACTGTCCACCCGTCATTTCGGAGGCTGTCGGCTAGCTGAAAAATCAAAGTAATTTTTTATGCTTTTAAAAACCTACCTTTCCTTTGTCTTCTATCGCCAAAACAAAGCAAATGCCGAGGACCACCTTGTGATAGCTGTCTCCCGGAATTCCACTCAAAAGCGATAAATTACGTTTAGAAATTTGTACTTTTTCTTGGCCACAATTCTGATAATTTCCAGACATCGTAAACTGAGCGCATCCCTCGTATTCATCGCTCGAACCGTGCAAATGTGCAGCATCTCTCGAAGTACGTCTTCTGACCTAAAAATTTGGCTTTTTTTGCTGTCCATTTTTACTTACACAAAAGCCAGATTCTCCGTAACCATATTGATGGTCATTTTGAAGACATCCACGGCTAGAATTTGGTCACTTCCATCGATATACGCCTTTAGCCATTGAAGCACGTGGTGGTCCATCACCTGGAAAAAGTCCAAAAAATAGATGAAAGCTAAAAACGTACTTTCTCGAGTCCTTCGATGAATGTGCCCTGTTTTGTCAGCGCCATCAGCCATTCGAGGCTCCTCGCATCGAGTTCAGAGGTCCGGATTTTCTAAAAAAACGTATATAAATTGTATAAAACCCCCACATCAAAGAATTGTCCCCTCAAAACAATGCCAATACTGTCGAATTGGGTCTGCGTGATGGAGATATAGGCCCTGGAATTGGTTTTATCAGGAAATTTCACGAGATTTCTACCTAATAACAAAATCCCTGCAATCCGGTTCGGTGACCAAATCGATCGATTGATGCACGATACCTTCGATTGAAGAGACTTGCAGCGTTTTTGAGATCATTAGCTGCAAAAACGACATAAAAACGTAAAAACCGGTATAGCTATACCTCCTGTAATCTTCTCAACACTCGAATCCTGTCTCTTTTCGAATTCTTCTTCTCTAGGGCATCCCACACGAATTGCGCAATCGAGCCATTGTCTGTTATCTAAAAAACCGGGATTTTGTAAATTTTTAGAGTTTCTAACCAGCGGTTCATCCCTGGCCGGTTCGCCGTCTTTTCGGAAGATTCTGCTGAAGAAGCTGCGGCCTAAAAAATGTCGAAAATCCTCGAAAAATCAGAAAAATTTACCCCCAGATTTGGGACTGCCATCATTACTCGAGGCGGCGGGTTTCGGGATTTTTACGCCCTTGTTAGAGCCCGTACTGCTCGCGCGGGAAGAGGCTCGAGGCTAAAAAACAGTAATAAAAAATTAAACAATCTAGAAATATACCGGTGATGCAGAATTGCCGGGTAGAGAGTCGGCGCCTGCAAAAAAAAAATATGTTTTTAAAAGCCTCAAAAAACGTGCCAGAGTTGTTATTATTCGAAGATCTTCTCGCTCCGGCCACAATAGCCCCATCTTCATCCAACATCAAATTGTCGACATTGTTGAGGAGCGCTTCTGTTCGTGGGGATGAGCTGAATGGCTCATCTTCGCCAGACATTTCTCATTACCCTGAAAAAACCACGTTTATAAAACGAATCCCGAAAATACATAAAAGAATAGGAAAGCCAGTTCTTAAAAATATATAGCACATGTTCTAAAAAGCCGTAACCAACCACAGAATATTTCTAAAAAGGCTCCGAAAGCCCGAAAAATGATGATCACAACGAAATATGGATAGAATTCCCCGAGATATTAGTGAAAAGGAAAAGAAGAACCCGATTTGAAAGGAAAAAAGGACAAACATTTCATAAAAAAGAAATAGAGATCTACAACTCCTTTTTCTTGTTTTGATTGTTGGAATGTTGCTTCTTGCTGTCCCACGCGTCGATGAACAATCCAATAAAGACGATAGCCGTAGCAATTATCTGACGTGCCGATAGTGGATGGGCGAATAGAACGACAGAGATGATGATTGTGAACAGCTTGCGAGTTGTCGTCAAGATCGAGCAGGTTAGTGGCGAGAATTCCTCGACAGTTTTGAAGATGAAATACTGCCCTCCACAGCTCGATCCACATATGATGGCCATCTCCAGAAGGACTTCGGGGTATCGCCTGGCAAACGAAATGAAGCTGAACAGCTCGCCGGTGGCCAATATCGTGATGGCGAGGAATAGAGAGGAGAAGATGTTCATGTAGAACATCATTGAGAGGGCTGTTCGCTGGTAGTGCTTCTTGATATGATCTTGGATTGCTGTTGTTGTGCCATCCAGGGTGAGAGAAGTTAGCTAAAAATGATGAATACATCAAAAACTATAAATCCTTACCAATAAAATTTCGCCAATCCCGATTCCTCCTTCAATATCGCTCGTTTTCTTGTCTTTATACATAAACATTGCCACTCCAATGACAATCATCACCACTATTAGGTATTTCTTCAGTGCGTAGCGCTTTCCCGTCAGTAGAACACCGCATAGAAGCACCGGAATTGGCTTGCACGACTTGGCCAGAACCTGCAAAACAATTTAATAGTTTTAAATCTATAAATAAACACACCTGAGTAGGATACGGCAAATACAAAAGTGCCTGATTACTAGCCACCATGGCAGCCAGATAACAGAATGCACATAGAGCATATATCCGCCCGGGGACCGTGTCTTTCGTCTGTTTCGGCAGAAGAATGAAGGCAAAAGCTGCACTGGAGAGGCAGACGAAGAACAGCAGCGTTTGGATGTAGATGAACGATTCGTGGGCGGCGCCGAATTTCCCCTGGACAAGGCGTTCTTGATAGATTCCGAAGGAGAAGTAGCACAGCAGGATGCCGGCAGCACAGATGAACACGTGCAGGCATTCTTCGAGGTATGTACGCTTGGCTTCCGGCTTCAGCTTCACCGCCATTTTTACAGCCTAAAAACACAAAATGCAACCGATTCTCCCTAGTTCTAATCTTATTTTCTATGTTTTTCAAAATAATTCTAGCATTTTCTAGCTTTTTGATGCTTTTATATTTCCTGCGCCAACAAATTCAATGCTTTTCCGGGTATAAAAATTTATCAACTACAAAATCCAAATGTGTCGAATGAAAATGGTTATCACAACTAGATGGAGGGGACACAGGTATTGAGAGAGGGGGACATAAATACCAGATACATAATGAGGGATTTAGAAACAAACAAAAACACGGCAACAAGCTCACAAATTGTAAAACTTAGATCTTGGATGGAGGGGATGGGGATGATAGTCATTGTTCCGGGGCGGCCAGCGCGATCACTCCACAAGCGGCACGGGCGCCGGCGTTTCCGGTCTTCAGGCTCTCTTCCTTCTTGTCGCCTTCTCCCTTGCCTGGAAAGAAGAAATCAGTTAAAAAAATAAATTTACAGCTAAATTCAGCGCTAAAAATAGATTTTCAGAGCGAAAAATCGGCTGAAATGCCCGAAAACGCGCTAAAATCCATTGTCAATAATTTCAGGAAATTAGCATTCAGGCTTTCAGTGAAGACAACGCTGAAAATCGATTTTCAGCGCGAAAAATTTGCCTGAACGGCTCGAAAACTCGCTAGAAACCGACCAAGATCATCGGTGCCGGCGTGGACGACGAGCGAGCGGCCAACGACAGTGTTCTCGCCATGGATCTGAACTAGACGTTTCAAAAAATCCAAAAAACGCTTATACCTTGATGAGAGAGTCCTTGATCTCGAACTTGGCGACTCCATTCGAGTCGGCCTCAACGTTGCCCAGATCGCCGACGTGACGGCTTTCGTCCTAAAATAAATAAATATCGAAAAAGCTGCTAAAAAATTACATTGGGGCCTCCGTGGGTCTTGTTGAAAGGGTTGAAATGGGGTCCAGCGGAGATGCAGCCATTTGTGGAGTCGCCATACTGATGCACGTGGAAGCCGTGTTTGCCGGGGGTCAGTCCACGAATCTCGCCCTTAATCACCGTCGGGTCGCTTTCCTTATCCTAAAAAAGAAAAGATAATCATAAATTCTCTATAATGTTTATACCTGTCTAAGATAGACGGTTCCCTCAACGCCCGCATCTCCACGTAGAACGGCCACAGCTCGGTTGCTCATTGTTTGCTTGGCTTCCGGCTGAAAAAAAGGTAATTAAACCAAGTAAAAGCTAGGAATTGTTAGCGAAAACACAAAATAAAACAAGAAAGAAATTAGGAACCTTGAAAAAGCTTCTGATATTTTGGCTGATGGCGTAGACGAACATCACTAGCTTGAGAATCTGAAGGAAACAAGATGAGATAAGGCCTGAAAATGCAAACTGAATAAAAAGAGAGGAAAATTGGGAAGTGGAGAGTGTTGTTGACGGGATAAATATTGTGAGGGGAGCGTCAGGGGAATGGGGGGAACGATACAGAGAGGAGAGAGCGAGGAAAGTGAGGAGAGGGCAAGAGAATCGGCCATTTACTGGGGATGGAGGACTCAGGAAAGCTAAACCCGCGGTCGGACCCGTTCTTTAACCCGCGGTCTGTCTGCAGCCGATTCCCTTCTTATCCCGCCTCCCAACCCGCGGTCGGGCCCTTTCTCAACCCGAGGTCGGACCTTTTCTCAACCCAGCTCCAGCCCGCGGTCTGATATTGCCACTAGTCAAGCCACTTCCGGCCCTTCCGCACCCGCCTTCCGACTTATATTTCTAATACCACGCTTCGCGTGATATTAGAAACTAATCTGATCTTCCCGAAATTAAGATTTCATTTCTACGGAACACTTATTCTTGTTTTTAGATGCTTTCATTGTTTTAAGAGTTGCCATTTCCCACAGAAATAATAGTGTTGCGCTCGCAAGCAAATATTCGGTATTGCGATAAGCAGCCCTTGTTTTTTGGTAGATGACCTAAGCAATACTTTAAAGTTTCGATTGCGAAAAAACCGAGCTACGTAAACTAAAACTTTGCTTGAAAAATATTGCAAGTTGTCTCGTAGATTCTTCTGCGCATCCCGTATAAAACATACCCGTCGTTCTCTATGTGTTATATGCGCATATGAATATACGAGATAACTTGCAAGGTTTAGAGACGAAGTTTTTCAGCTTTATTTCATTCGATTATATACGGACGGGAAATATTAAAGTATTGTGTAGGTCGTCTACAAAAAAAGTGATAATTCCAGCCTACTGCAGCATATCAACACTACAAACAATGAAAACATAAAAACACACGAGTAATTTTTCCAAATAAATCTCGGTTTCTAATCCTAAACCACTAGCATGGATGATTTCTTCGAAATTTGTGCAAAAGAAGTAACTAACACTCAAAGGCACCGATTTTACGTTATTATAGTTTTATTAGGACGAAAATTAAACAAAAAGAAACATACGCTCCTTAGATAGAACCGGGATTTCAACTGGGCGCGCGCAAGTAATTTAAAAAAATTTTTGGGAGTTCGATGTCGTCATCCAACCCGCCGTTAACCCGTCTTCGACCCGTTCACAACCCGTCCTCAACCAGCCGATAACCCGTTCCCTCTCAACCCGCGGTCGGACCCGTGGTCTAACCCGTTCTTGGATTTCAACCCGCGGTCTAACCCGTTCTCGGCTTCCGACCGCGGTCGAACCCATTCCAACGGGTCCGACCGCGGGTTTAGCTTTCCTGAGGAGAGATAAGGGGCAAACTACGGCCACACGGCATCTCAGGACCCGCAATTACGACATGTAATGGGGGGGGATCAAAAATGCTAAGAGGGAAGTCATTGAACGCTTATAACTTTTTACCTAGATTGTAATTTGAAAAAGTCGATTTCCAGTTTTGTAGAACAAAATGCGCTCTTTCGAATGTGACCAAATAGAATGAGAACTGAATTCATCTCTGAATTGGACCAAGGCTTTGAAAGTTGTGGAAACCAAAGACACTTTCAAAGCCTTGGTTCAATTCAGAGTTGAATTCAGTTCACTTTTTATTTGGTCACATTCGAAAGAGCGCATTTTGTTCTACAAAACTGGAAATCGACTTTTTCAAATTACAATCTAGGTAAAAAGTTATAAGCGTTCAATGACTTCCCTCTTAGCATTTTTGATCCCCCCCCATTACATGTCGTAATTGCGGTCCTGAGATGCCGTGGCCAATCCCCACCACACATTCTCATCGCTCACTACAATAACAACAAATTGGAGGAGTAGCACAAAAAAAAAGATAGTGTTTCAATAGAGTAAAGAGAAGGTCAAAGATCTTGTCAAAAAAGGTTCAAAAACGGAGAATTTTGAATGTAAAAAGTAACGTGAAATGAAAGACCTTGGGTTTGGACTCGAGAGAAGCCCCTGGAAGATTCATCGCGTTGCCAAGGCGATATCAGAAACCGCAAAAAAAAGAACAACCGCCTAGGCCAGAGAAAATTGGCGGAAAACGAGGTTATAAAATAAAAGAAGCCCAACCGCGATTTGGTAACATAAAAATCAATATCAAAGTTTTAAAGTGTTCAAAAGTAATTTTGTGCAACTTTTTTTTCGAAAAGTTTTAGAAAGCAAAAAAATTCAAAAGTAAAAAACCACGAGTCAGAAAATTTGCCGTCCTAATCGAATATCTCGTGAGCTACGGTACTAAAGGTGTTCAATAGACCAAAGACTCCCGTTTCGCGGAAAAAAAATTGAATTTTTTGCGCGCTTTTTTGCTTTTTTAATAATTTGAAAACCAATTTAATTTGATGTTTTGCAGGTATTCGCCGATGCTGACAAAAGCATTCAACTGCCCGAAATGCGAGAGACCGTTCGCTTCCGTCGGACAGCGACCCTTCTACTCCATCCACAAAAAGGAGGTCTACTGCCGTGAATGTGCGCCGAACCCGAAGAATGTACGACAACGAGGAATGATTGAATTCTTGAGACAGCGGGCATTCAAGTGTACTTCTCAAGGATACGAATATACTCTCCGATCGCGGATCCTGTCTGCGTCGGTTGCAATGAAAACATCAAAGTGATCGGAGGAGCTCGGGCAATACCCACTCATTGCGGCCACTATCTTTGCCAAGGATGTGTCGAGCGACGCAAGAATGGCATCGTCTTCTCGTGCAAAAGATGCAACACCTCAGCCGCCAAATCTGCCGATTACCCCGAGAACCGCGCCCTGATCAAGTTCACGGCATCTCAAGACCCGCAATTACGACATGTAATGGGTGGGCAAAAAATGCTAAGAGGGGAGTCTTTGAACGCTTATAACTTTTTACCTAGATTGTAATTTGAAAAAGTAGATTTCCAGATTTGTAGAACAAAATGCGCTCTTTCGAATGTGACCAAATAGAAAGGAAACTGAATTCAACTCTGAATTGAACCAAGGCTCTGAAAGTCAACGTTTCGAAGCCCACTTTCAAAGCCTTGGTTCAATTCAGAGTTGAATTCAGTTTCCTTTCTATTTGGTCACATTCGAAAGAGCGCATTTTGTTCTACAAATCTGGAAATCGACTTTTTCAAATTACAATCTAGGTAAAAAGTTATAAGCGTTCAAAGACTCCCCCTCTTAGCATTTTTTGCCCACCCATTACATGTCGTAATTGCGGGTCTTGAGATGCCGTGAGTTTTACGAGGAGATCAGGGGACATTCCGAGAAGACCGAATTCGAACAAGGGCCACGAGAGGACACACCACAACCCGCTTCCGCCACGCCGA